GTAGAAAGATTATTAGGGGGGAATAAACTGAAATTAAAAGACAATAAAATGAGATGAAAATGCAAGCTGAGAGGGTAAGTGAACATGGTAATATAAGGAAGAAATTCCATGACAGATTTTGATAGAATTAAAATTTTTTAAAACTTAACTATAATTGATCTATCAATATTATATTAGCTTCAGGTGATAGAGTTAAAATCTTTTTTGGAGGCAATAAAGAATAGAGTTGACATTGCAGAAAAACATATGAAATGGAGGCTACATTTGGAGTTTGTGGATTCAGTAACAGAAATCCATCTCACATTAGCTCAAGCGAAAAATGAGAATTTATTGGTTTGCGTAGAGCTACCTTTATGCGTAACTGGCTCCAGAGGCTCCACAGTGTCATGAGGACCTGCTTCTTTCCCTGTCGCTTGGCTCTTCTTCCTTCTCCATGACTTCATTTGCAGATCAGATCTGTCTAGCTGGTCTCAAGGCTGGTGTTTTCAAAACTAAATCATCTTCACTGCAGCCGATCCCAGAGGAAAGGACAGCAGTTCTTTCTCCCCCAGCCTCAGATCCATCAATGACTCTGACCTTGCTTATTTATGTGTCTGCCCTCTATTTTAGTTTCCAGAGGGTTGGGATCTTTGATTGGATAGCCTGTCACGTGGCCACTCCTGTCACCAGGAAGGAAGGCTGCTGCTGATAGCCTCACCAAGTCACATGGAGGGAGGGAGGGAGGGGCAGTTTCCAAATAAAAAGTACCTGGAAGATTTTTGGGTTTCCCAGTGGTAATGAATTCGCCTGCAATGCAGGATTTGAGGGTTCAGTTCCTTGGGTGGGAAGATCCCCTGGAGAAGGAATTGGTAACTCACTCCAGGATTCTTGTCTGGGGAAATTCCATGGACCGAGGAGACTAATGGGCTATAGCCCACGTGGTTGCAAAGAATTGGACATGACTTAGTGACTAAAACAACAACAAAAGGTGGATTTAAAAAGAAAAAAACATATACATGGCCACTACAAAGAAACAAAGGAGTAATTTAGGAAAATGATACAGATGAATGGAAATGGGCAAAGAAGTAAATTCACTGGGGAAATAAAAAGGCAGGAGAAAGAGATCAAGCATGTAAAGTAATAATTCTCGGTACTTCTGAGGAAGAAGCCATAGTTGGTCTTTTTGGAAATATTACATACTGCTAAAATATAGAGCAGTTTATCTTGAGTACAAAATAAATATTTAAATGTGATATTAATGTCATAATTGTTGTGTTTTAACCTATATAAGACTTATAGAAGATAAGGATGAAACTTCATTGAAAGCTATAATAAGAAATTTAAAGAAATTGAGAAATATACATTTTCCTCCTGGGAACAGACTAAAATATTGTTGAGATATATTTTTCCCTAAAATCATTTGGTTGGTTTAGTGCAGTGTTCATTAAAAGTCCATTTGTTTCCTTTGTGGAACTTATTAGAATTAGTCTAATGTTCATTAGTGAGAATAACTAGTTTAAATTAAGAAAAAATTTGAAATAGAAGGGTAATAAAGGCAACTTGGGCTTAATGAATATAAATCCTTATGACTCATTCATTTAAGAAATGTGTGAGTGAGGCAGTGAATGTGATGTCCTTAATATGTACCTGGTACATAATAAACTGGGCTTCCCTGTGGCTCAGCTGGTGAAGAATCTGCCTGCAATGTGGGATACCTGGGTTTGATCCCCAGGTTGGGAAGATCCCCTGGAGAAGGGAAAGGCTACCCACTCCAGTATTCTGGCCTAGAGAATTTTATGGACTGTGTAGACCATGGGGTCGTAAAGAGTCAGACATGACTGACTTTCACTCACTGACATCATAAACTGCCTTAAATGACTTCTTATTTCTCCGGCTCCTTTCCCATCTTCTTCCTTCTTCCCTCTTTGCCCCCTCCCCTTTCATTGCTCCTCCCTCTGCCTTCTTTTTCATTCTCTCTTATCCTCTGAGGACACATTAGGGAACAAAACATTAATTTAAAATGAGGTAAAATAAATCATGGGCCCTCAGGCCCGCACCTGTCCTGGGTTGATGACTTTTAGGAACCCCTATCTTTCTTCTTATTCAAAGCAGTTTTATATAGAACACCATCTTGCCATGAGAAGACTGCCTGGAGAATGGGAGCCCATCCATTGTTCCAATTCAGTGAGCATTTAAGGTTTGATTATTCAGAAAACACTGCATTTAGGGTTTGGATTATTCAGATGGGCTGAAGAAGGGAGGAAATACCTAGTGCAGATTTTTGAGAAATGTCAGATGAGTTTCCCTCAGCCCTAAGTCACAGGCGAGGTGGAGGAAGGTGAGTAGTCTGCTCAGGCCACGTTGTCTCTACACCACCCATGTTCAGGCATCCTTGCGGGGAGCACAGAACAGGAGCTTGTGGCTCTGTGTGCCTTAGCATCAGCCCCCGTTCCTGGGGAGCATCCCCAAGCCTTGATATCCTGGGAGATCTGTAGTGACCAGGCCCCTGGGCTTTTCTCCTGTGTGGCTCCATGGTATCCGCTTGTTTGAATGAGCAGCTCATGTCAATCTTAATATTTGTTTTGAGTCACATATGCCGGCATCTAATTTGCAATTTACATGGATGATGGGGCCCCATTCATTGTCCCAGTCCCGCCGCCTTTGTGTTGTTCACCTCTCTCCACGCAGTCATTAGGCTGAACAGCATATAATTAGGAAACCAATGTAAAGCATAGATTTCTGAGAGGTTGCAGCTCTTTTCAAAAAGTAAGGGTTTCCATTTTTACACTCACTCTTTTATAAACAAAAAGACATTCCCCCTCATGGCTTTTCATCTGAATGTAGTAACTTAGAAACAGTCTTGTAGGTGGGTAGTAATTTTGGTTTGTTTTCACCTGAGAGTCCGTTTTTGTTTACACAGCTTGTGTTTAACTCTGTGCAGCCTGAGGTTGATTGGCCATCATTTGTAGATGAGTGTGTTGCTTTTTGAAACCAATCATAATTGGCTTATTTTAAATCCCTGAAGATTTTAAATTTATCCAACCAAATAACTCAGTTTTCAGCTTATATCTTTTGCTACCTGTGTGCACAAACCTGACTTAAAATTGCTTGTTAAGCCTATGAAAATAGAAGGGGTGAAGAAAACAGACGTTCTTGCCAAAATTATGCTAATTATATTTAAGCTGTGTTCACTTGTCAGACAGGCTCATGATTATAAACATAGTTTAGTCGATGGTGAAGCCAATGCACGGTCTTAAATAGAAGTGTATATACATGCTTCATTGAAATAAAATAATATAATGCATTAGGGAGCCTATGAAAGTATTAACACATTATCATTCCTTATACTTGATATTATTTTTCAAAGAAGTAAAAAAGCACATCTCTTTTAACACTGTAGGGTTGAAAGGAAGATAACAAGGTGCATCACTATTATCTAGAACACTGATTTTTAGTGGTCAACTGGGGAATTCATTAAAATGCAGATTCTTGGGCCCCATTTAGCAAAATTCTGTTACAGAGGATTGAGGATGGACCTCAGGAATCTAAATTTTTAATAAGTACTCTAGATGATGCTACTGCAGAAAGTTTGCAGGCAATATTAGAAGTACTTGTTTTGAGGAATTTCCTAGAGGTCCAGTGGTTAAGACTCCATGCTTCCACTGCAGGAGGGTTCAATTCCTGGTCAGGAAGCTAAGATCCAGCAAACTGTGTGATGCAGCCAAAAATTAAAAAAAAAAAAAAGATTATGTTTTGGGAAATTTGTGGGCATTCCCTAGGACTCCAAGCTTTCACTGCCAAAGGAGTGGGTTCAATCCCTGGTCTGGGAACTAAGATCCCAAGATCCCACAGGCTGCACAGTGCAGCCAAAAGAAAAGAGAAAAGAAAAAGAAACACCTGTTGTGTACAAATGCAGTTAATTGTGCATTCTTTGTGTGTTCAGTTGTACATTTCTGTGTTCTACCTTTTATGTCTTGAAAAAGTGAAGACATTTTGAAAATGACCATTACTACATGCTTTGCATTATAAATTTAATAAAATCTAATGTAATGGACAAGTTGACCAGCCCACCCACTGGTGAATTTGCAAATAGAACTTCATCTTTTCAGTTCATGACTAGTCTCAGGAAAAAGAGAAGCAGGTAGATAGTGAGATGTTGCCCATCATGGGTTATATGAGTTGGCTTCTGGTCTCTCCTTCCATTTGTCAGTCAAGTTATTCTGAATGGCAACTGTCACCTGAAGCATATTTGGCTATATATATATATATATATATATCTTTAAATCTCTGTTTTCTATACTTTGGTTTGATTGTATCTAATGTGCATTCAGAGGACAGCTATTTCTTTTTTTGTTGTTGTTGGCTATTTCTTAATGTGAATCCTTTTGTTGTTGGAAGATCAAGACATTGCAATGATATTTACTGGAATAAAACTATCAGCACCCATCACTAGGCCTCCCAGATAACGGGCATTTGAAGAGTCCAATCAGGAAAGGAAGAGAAAGGTGTGGTTGGGAGTGTGCGAGGCACAGAATTCCAGAGTTTCACATACCCTCACCCCAGGAAATGACTTTCTATATTTGTGTACTGGAGCTTATCCTGTATCCATTGGGAGTCAAGACTGTGTGATCGACAAGTTAATGCCCTTGATTGAGGACACTCTATATGTGAATGTGCCTATCTACATTTATCCATAATGACATGCTTTTAAGGGTAGTATATGTAAAATCCTATAAGCTTGGTTTTGTGCAATGGTCTTGGAATTATATTTTTTATGTTGTATGAATTCAGTTCATATGCAATAATGTCAATGAGTCATTGGTATAATAAAAAAAGAATATAGTTATCCAAATAAATGTTGCACATAATAAATTTTTTTTAAAGTTATAATCAGTGACTTTCTTAGATGATTATGGCGAGGATAAATTACATTAGGGACATTAAAGCTAGCAGCTGTATGACATTACTCATTTCCTTTCTCTCTCTCTCTTTTTTTTGATCAAAACTGTCTCTTCCATCAGATTTTTTATAGAAAAGATGTACAGGACACCCACATGTATAATGCAGAGCTTGACAGACCAGACATCAAGATGGCAACACAGATCTCCAAGATCATAAGCGATGTAATCTCTCTTTCTTATCTTGAGCAGAATTGAAAGCATGGCTTTGGTAGTTGGGTGATTAATTTAATTAGTGAAATGTATCAATCTGAATTAATGACATCTCAATTTTTTATCTGAATTATCTCTTTGACTGTGTAAATTATTTGGATATGTACAGAAATTGATCACACTTGACTTGACTATGGCTTGTGTTGTAATACTTTAAAAAAAATAAATACTGCTCAGGCCTAAGATAACATTCATGTGTTTCGGCCTGAGAGTCAAGTTTGTCATTCATCTGGTTCCATATTATCTCTCATCTTGTCCCAGAGAACTTCACTTTGGCCTTTTTTTCCATCTTGTTCCTGTTAATTGTGCGGGTTCTTGTTAGTCAGCATTTACCCATGCACATTTCCTGTGCATCATGGCTGTTTTTCTCTTCCCTAAGACATCCATCTTGGCAAATACCATTTTACTTAAACATTTCTTACATTCTGGTTAAAAAATGATGACTTAACTTGAATCAAATGATTAAGTAGCATAGGCTGTACTCATCTTAAAAATCAATAATTATTTACTAAATTCAGCTGCATGTTAACCAGATGGGGTTAGATCAGTTACTAAGACTAAACATAAAAGACATGTGTATGCAGAATGCAGAGTCTTAATTATCTAGAAATTCCTCCTGGATAACATAAACATAATGATGATGATGACTGGATTCACAGACTCAAGCTTAGTAATTATTTTACTATAAAAAACATTGTTTTTCTAAAATCAGTTTCTTCTTAGCAGTCAGCATTTTAGAATTTGGTGAGTTATAAGGAATATTTTTTTATGGGCTGACAGTCTATTAATTTTATTTTGGCTATTCTCAGTGTAATTTTTTGCTGGAAAATAGAAATATCTGACATTTTCTTATTCATTTTAGGCTGAATACAAGAAAGGGCAAGGAGTAATGAATAAAGAGCCTGCTGTAATTGGAAGACCAGATTTTGAACATGCTGTGGAAGCTTCTAAACTTTCTAGTCAAGTAAGAATCTAGCGATATTTCACAGTGATTTTATTCAGAGATTTTGCTTCTAGCAGCACTGGAAAATATTTTACTTTAGATAATGTCTTTAATGTCGAGAATATACAAAGATAATGTTCCTGTAACCATATCAGATAGGATTATAATTGTAAATTTCACTAAGGGATAAAATTTGTCCAGTTTTGAGCATGAAACTAAGTGTTCTTTTCTCCTGGATCAAATTCTAGCTTTTTCCAATGAGTTCAGCCATGTCGTCACATTTCCTAGAATTTCTGAAACTTAGCGATAGTCATATCAATTAGATTAGATTAGATGAATAATTAAATTTCTATCTATATGTTCATAAACAGAATTATTAGGAAGAAAAATGACAATTTTCTCAATGTTTAAGTGCTTTAATCACAAATTTGAAACCAGGTAATGACAATAAAGAAAACACTGAAATCATTAAAAGGATCTGAAGAAGTATACAGACATGCCATATCTTTGGCTGAACATGTCAATAGATAAAAATTACAACTTTCCCAAAATTAATACTCAAATATCATGCAATTTCAATTAGAATCCAATAATATTTTTTGAAGTATGGATAAATGATCTTAGAGTTTGAATGGCAAGGAAATGCCTGAAAATAGCCTTCAAAAGTATTAAAGTAAAGACCAGTGAAGGGGAACTTACATTGTGAGTTACTATAACATAGTATAAAACCACTGAAATTAAATCAATATGGAATTGATATTTAAGAGATAAAATAATCAGTAGGTTAAACGGGGGAATCCTGAAAGAGACTCTAATGTGTATAAGAATTTAATATATGATAAAAGTTTTGGTTTAAGTCAGTGGGAGAAAGTTATATTAGTTAATAAATGGTGCTGACATAACTGGCCATCCTTCAGGGTAAAAATAAAATTGGACCTGAATCTTAAACCATCTACAAAATGAATTCCAGATGGATTAAAGATATGAATGTAAACAAAAAAATAATTTTAAAATCTTAAAAAAAATCCAGGAGACTGTATATACCACATAGGGATAACAGTTGTTCTTAAAATTGGATATCCAGAAGCTCCAAAAGAATAATTAGACATGCTTGACTATATAAAAATTTAACAATCCTTTTAATGGAAAAAGGTAACATTTGTAAAGTCAACAATGACAGCAAACAGTAACTTTTATGCATGTATATAGTGTTTTCAACTTTGAAAATGTCCTTTCCTCAAGTTGCAAATGTCTTAATTGGGTTACATTTCAAAACGGAGAGATGTAAATGAGGAGAACTATAAAATCTAACTGAAGAACATAAAATAGTATCTGGACAATTGAGAAGACCTGCCATGTTCCTAGCTCTGGAGGGCCTGAGAAAGGCTGTGATTCTGAGCTTTTCTCAGTCCAAACAACACTTGCTGAAGTGGGTATTGGCACGCACCTGGTAGCTCTTCCAGTATCGCTTTAGATTTCCTGACTTAGGATTTCAGCCTTTTCTGGGGGCACAGAGGTCCATTGGTGGTGTAGAAAAGCTGTGCAGCTTGGCTGGGTGATTAATAAAAGGGCTGTGGAGCTGGACCCCTGCTCCTGGTTTTGCTGCTGGCTCATCGAGTGACTTTGGACAGGTGGCTTAATTTCTCCATCTGCAGTTTCCTGACCTGTAAAGTGACATGGAGCAGTATTGCTTCTTAGGGTTGTTGTGAGGATTAAATGAACTACTGTGAGCAATTTAAAATATTGCCTGACCCATAGAAACCCTGCATTATTTCCCAGGAATAATTTTACCATAGCTATTCAGAAGAATTTTCCACTCTGCATTTTGAATTCTTGCACAAAATGAAGTATAGTAAGACTGGCCCTTAAATTTCAGTCTTAGAATTTTTCTTCACAGTCTTATTTGCAAGTGCTTAGAAAAAGTTTTAGGGGCTTCCCAGGTGGCTCAGTGGCAAAGAATTTGCCTGCCAATGCAGGAGATTTGGGTTTGATCCCTGGGTTGGGACAGTCCCCTGGAGAAGGAAATGGCAACCCACTCCAGTATTCTTGCCTGGGAAGTTCCATGGACAGAGGAGCCTGGTGGGCTAAGGTCCATGGGGTCACACAGTCAGACACGACTGAAGCGACAGCATGCTCGAAGGTTTTTTAGGCAGACTTAAAAACAAATCTCAAATCATTTAACAGCTGAATGATCAGATATTTAAGCAGATTGTAATTTGCAAGTCACATTTTTGTTTTTTAGTGAACGTTTTGCTGATCTCATGGTGTATAAACTCATCAGAAAAGGGAGACACTGGGCAGATGAATATTCAGAACTTCTGGAATGGACTCAGTGTGATCTTTTGTATTTCAGGTGCATTGACTAAAAGCAAAGGCAGAAAGTGTAGTTTCTTATTTTCATTGACAACTTTGAAGATCATATATTCTCTTGCTCCTAAACTAATGACAGATTTTGAATACAGGTGCACACAAAGGCAAACAAATATGCAGAAGGGAAATACTTTAGGAATGTAGTAAGCTGGGAAGCTTGGGGCAGAATGCAGGATGCCGGGGGAAAGGGCGAGACAGGACTGTGAGAGAGAAGGCGATGATGGACAGTGCCTGTGGTGTGGAGAGATAAGACACCCTGATGACAAGACAGGAGGAGAAAGCGAGAGGGCACGATTCTCCCATTTTATCTGGAAACTGAGCTCTGTGAGACTGAATCCAGAAAAGGTAATGAATGGAAACAAAACTCATTCCTATGTTAACTTGTCCAATAGCTTTGCTTCCATAGTTGTAAACTTTCCCTTTTTAAAGTCTAGGGGGAACATAAGATAATGGCCAAGTAATGAAAAGAAAATCAGTAAACAATAAAAGTGAAATCTCACCTGCCAAGATAAAGAGATATATTTACAAGTATCTTAAGTATTAGGGCAGTAGTTATTTAAGTCATCATCTTAAAAAAAAATTCTTCTGAGTGGTTGTTTTGTTAACATATTCATTTATCATCTTAATTTATGAACTGAAATTTGTTTATGTGATGAATGAAATACCTTTAGTTTTATAATATCAGAGAAAAATTTATATTTATAATAATTAGCATTTGTTCTAAAGTTGCATGTGATGTATTTAATAGAGTGTGTTTTAAACCTAAATGTTACTTCTTAGATTGCTGTTAAAACGGAATAAGTATTGTCCTTCAATTGTAAAGGGTATTAATTGGCTTGAAGGATCTCCCATTGTGGGCAAGCACACACCCTTCCACCCTCCTTCCCCCAAACTTTTGGCTTAAATGTCACATCCTTGACTTGCTGATTTAAATTATATCGCTCTATTTCTCTTTATTCTGCTTTTCTTCATAGTCCTTAACACGGTGTGTGTTAGTCATATAAAGGTGTGTGTGTGTATTAAATATCTGCTTCACTACCACTCAACAGGCTCTGTGGAGACAGGGTTTAATGGCATTAATGGCACAGATTAAGCTTTCAAGAAATACGTAGAGACCGATTAAACACATTTCTCTAGATCATTCACATTTGGTACAAAGTCAGTAAAATATTATTTTGTCATGAAAATAAGGGCAGGGTATATTTTGTGTAAAATTCAGACTTAAACACACTGACTTTATGATGACTTCTACGTAAAAATCTATTTTTACGCTCCTCAACAGCCTTTAGTTAAGTTTCATCCAAAATTGGAGGCAATTGCTCCCATGGATGTGTGGCATTGTGTTGTTGTTTACTTTTCATTTTCACTGATAATTAAGTGCACGTATCCATTTTCCCATTTCTTTCCTAGCATGTGCTTCTGTGCCTCTGATGAAAAGCTTTCATTCAGGGTCTGCTCTTTTTCTGCTCTTCTGGCCCTTTGTAAATCTGAGCCATAGGTGATGCCATGAAGCCCGTACCCCTTGTGCTGAAAGCTTTGAACTACCAAGTTGGGAAATCAGACTTTAGCCATTTAAACACAGCCCTGCCTGGATGCAGTTATGAGGGGCTAGGTTAAGTTCAGTCACTGTGGTTGAGCAATTCTAGTGTTTTTTCCTAGTTTGAACCTCTGAAAGTTCTGCTAAGTCTGTGAAACTTTCTTACTAAACTTTTAAGTTTCATCCCATTTGCCTACCCTGTATTTTTCAAAAAGTTGGTAGATAGCAGGACCATTGGATATGATATTTATAATATGAGTAAAATCAGTCATAGGTGGAACTTATTGTTTGTTTTCAAAGTGATTGATTTATGTATAAGGGGTAACATTGTGCCTTAAAACCATAGCAAAGTCACCCAACACCCATTTCCTCTTGTCTCAAGTGGTCTTGAAACCGGAAGGAAAAATACCATGTTCCATGGTTGAGTCACCCATTATAATGAAAGGAAAGCATCCTGATTTCTTAGGAGATGCAAGTGTGTGTGAACAGGTGGACATTAAATGTGTGAACCGTGGATTCATGGTACGATAGAATGTTCTGTGTATGTATAGTTAGTGAGTGAACCAGTTAGAAGGTGAGTGATAGGACCTGTTTGAACTATTCGGCTAGTTTCTTAGTTCATTTATGTGCAAACCTTACAGCACGATAAGAAACAATTGAGGGTCAGTGTCTGGTAAATGTATTTTTTATGGAATTCATTTATTTTACTTTTTGGTTAATTAATGAGAGAAACTCTTGCATTCTTGTTCTTTAGGTACCTTTTGAATCAGATAACGCAGAGTTCTGAAGTTTAGGATAAGATAAATTTCACAATACTTTGCTGATTATTAAACTCATTAGAAGTACATGGATGACAGGTACACTTTAAATAATTAATCTTTAAATAACCTGGAAAGGTTATTTCCATTTTAAAATTCAAATTTTAAGGTCTATAGCCCCAGGCATAACTTTAAGAATAAAGTTTTCATAAAAATCTCTTAGAAGGCTATTAAAAAATTTGGAGACACTATGGAAGTTACCTGGTCCTGATTTTCAATGAAATAAGCCCTTCTCAATGTAATCCATTCATTTATTCATTCAAGCAAAACAGTTACTGAACAGATATTACATCCTTGGGGTTAGATTTTCAAGGGTGAACAGGAAAGATATAGCCCATGCCTTCACTGAACTTAGAGTCTAATGGGGAAGACCAATAGCCAGAGACAGTTTTACAAATAATTGCAGCAATGTATGATGAGGGACCACATAAATGTGGAGTGATTAAAAAAATATATCAGCAGTAAGTATTTTAGATTGGAAGGTCAGAGAGGATTTTCAGAAAGAAGTTACATTTGGGCAACTGCAAGATGTGTAGAAATTATTCAGGTGAACATTGGGAGGAGGTAGGGAGCAGTAATTGAGCAGGAAAGCAGAAGATAGTTCTACTGGTGGACAGATCAGCTGATGGAAAACTTCTGTTATAATTGGCAGAAATCTTGTTGGCTACAGCTTCTACCTGTCAACACTAACTGTACCTTTGGTAGTAGAACAAATGCTGTTTTTCTATTTTTGCTAATATTTGAAGACCGTTTCCCACCAATTCCCAAATCTCTTCCCATATAGCACTCTTTAAGGGTAGTTAGTGATGCCAAGTGTGCATTAGATGAGTAATTCCTAAACGAATTAGTTAATAAGGAAAACTGTGGCAAGAACTGCCACACTTTTAAAATACATATTTGTATGTGTTTAGTATAATATAGATGCAATATATTATTTTTATATTTATTGTTTTTCATTTCCTTTTACCTTTTTTCTCTTCCCAATAGATTGTTGTTCAAATCAGTTTAGCAGTTACTGTGGGGATTGTGTGTTGGGGGAACAGATTTGGGAAATTAGAATATTATAGTTCCAACACCTACCTGAGGGTGTGAGTGTGAAAAGATGGTTGATTGTTTATCGTTTTCATCATTAATCTATACATTTCTTTAAAGAACATATATTAAGTGCCAGATCCATTCAAAGTACTGTGGTGGGTACTAGGGATACAAAAATGAATAGAAATCTATTTCCTGCTCACTGTTTAATGGGAGAGCAGATAATTCAACTATGTCCAAAACTTAGAAAATAGTCTAATCTTGTATTTCCAGGGAAAACTCACCTTTAACAATAGGTTACTATTCAAAACAATATACTTGTAAAAATATACTTTGGATTTATCTTCTATATCTTTCAGAAATCAATGAAAATATTCTACTTAAAAAATAGGTTACTATTACTAGAGTTTGTCTTATAAAACACCAGATGAAAAAATGCAGGGTTCTGTTTGTATTGAAGTGTTTAAATCTAATCAGTTAATTCAGCTGAGCAATGCTGGCTTGCATCAACTTTTCTTTCAGTTATTCATATTCTTCAACCTCAGGTATACCACGAGTGTCTTAGTTACATATTAGCTAAATGATGAGACTAGGTTCCATGATGCTTGAGCACAGAGGGTGCATCATTCCACCTCTGTACCACCGCCTGTAGTTCTCGGCACCGTTACACTAGGAGCACACAGCACCGAGTGGGGGTGTTAACTTGGGAATTCGTCTGACACATTCTCAACTGTTATTAAACCTGGTGTTTGCTCTTTCCGGGTAAATGTATATTTCTGAAAAAACTGTAACCAGTTCTTGCCATTTAGCTAATACATAACTAAGACATTCGTGGTGCCTGAGGTTGGGGACTTATGAGTGACTTGATGCGAGTCCATGTTACACAGCAGGATCAGTTGATTAGATGGAAAGAGCTACCAGCTGAGAGTGTTCCTGGCACCTCAGCATCGGGCAGAATGTTTTCCTTGATCGCTGGACAGTGTTGGTGGATCTGGCTGAGTCGGGAGTGCCATTCTAGGGGAAGTCAGTTCAGAGAGTCTACGACTATAGTCAAGTGAATACCTGTCAGGCACTAAAACCTAGAAGAGACAAAAACACAGATTAGAATGTTGTGAAACGCGCCACAGCAGGGAGGTATTGAGGAGTGGAATTGCGCGTTTGGCAGAGGACCAGGTACGGAGGATCTTGGCTTTGGTGCCAGTTACTGTGGACAGTAGTGAAGGAGATCTAAATTGACTGCATTGGTGGTGGTGTCCCTGATTTCAAGATAAAATGACTTTATAAAACTTGAAGCTTTTCTTGTTTTAGGGAGGCCTCGCCTATTAATTATAATAAGTGAGATTTTGCTTGAAATTATAAGATAATATGATGATCACAAAGTATTATTAGCAAATGAAACTGCAACAGAAACTGTTGCATGTGAACCATCTTGAAATGTTTTCCAAATGTATTCCCATCAGGATTTTTACCAGCTCCCTCCCGGAGGAACAGTGTGTATCCCTGAGGGAGACCATCACCCAGTACACACTAGATTTAAGAGAGTAACGTGAGCTGTTCCGAAACCGCCTTTTTTCTAAAGGTTTCTGCAAGGCAGAGCCTTAGGATGTATGGATGAATGTGCATTCTGAATGTTGTAAAGAAAGAAATAGTGTAAGAATCATAATATAATAAGATATAAAAGGACAAAACAGCTTACTTTTGCTTTTGCCTACCTGCATCCTTTCCTGGCTACAGGAATTAAAGCAGTTAAATAGTTAAATAAATTAGACTAGCATTTTTGTTTTATTTTAGTAAAGAATTTTTTAGTCGTGTTCGACTCTTTGCAGCCCATGGACTGTAGCCCACCAGGCTCCTCTGTCCATGGAATTCTCTAGGCAAGAATATTGGAGTGGGTTGCCATTCTCTTCTCCAGGAGATCTTCCTGTTCCAAGGATTGAACCCAGGTCTCCTGCATTGCAGGCAGATTCTTTACCATCTGAGGCACAAGGGAAGCCATTTGGTTGCTTTAAGACTAGCTAAAAAAAAAAAATCCACAGTGAAAGTTGGAGATGGTTCTGCCACTGAAAACAACTGTGGAGTGAAAGCAGAGAAATAATAAATGACATTAAATAGGCCCAGGATGTTTTAGAATACATAATCCCTAACAATGAGTTTTTTAATAAGGGGGAAATGATGAGAAAAACCATGGTAGGAGCTCTGTCTTGCATTTGCAGTCATTCTTTTAGGAAAATTAATGTTCAAATTCTGATATTTGGGACCTGTTCTCTAAATGTGATAGATGTTAGGACATTTGTGGTCTTGATTTCTAATAGATCATAGATGTTAGGAATGCAGAAATGGAAACTGACATTTTAAAACCCTGAGATTCTATATAATTCTTGTTAATAGGATTTGAGTTCATGCCTAATTGCATTTATGATCCATGTTCAAGTAGAGGTGTTTTTTAATTAAAAAAAAACACCTTTATGCCTAATTAAGCTTTATATGGGGGGAAATACCAGGTATTTAAACTCTGCTGTTGTACATTTTTAAGGTAGCTTTTATCTGATCTAATTAGAAATCAAACGTGTTGCTTTGAAAGCTTGAAGGTAAATGTGCTATGTAATTTTTCCTGTTTCTTTTATGGCAGATTAAATACAAAGAAAAATTTGATAGTGAAATGAAGGATAAGAAACATCTTTACAATCCTCTTGAAAGTGCTTCTTTTAGGCAAAGTCAGCTGGCCACTGCCCTGGCGAGCAATGTAAGTTGCTTTCTGCCTCATGATTGGTAATTTGCAGTATATTATTTTCAGTATGTTTTGATTCTTGTTTTGATAGACTTGGCTGTGTGCTAACTGTGATTCTTAATCAAGATCATGTAATTGCCAAATAATTTTAGAAAACACTGAAGCCTATATTCTGGAAGCTTTTCTGAAAAAAAAAAGTGTTACTGATTACTAATTAATAAGTAGGGATAGTTTTATTGGCAAAACTGTTAGTATTATAGCTGATCAAGAGTAGAAATAGATTATAGAGTTTTTCAGAAAAACAGTGTGTAGTATCATAAAGTAATGATTATGACAATAGTTAGCCCATGTAATTATGCTCATAAAATTGTGAATATTGTAAAATATACCTGGAACATAGTAGTATATCACAAGGAAATTTCCAGAAATTGTTCTTGAGATAGCTTACAATTTCTTTCTTATCCCTTATGTAAATTCTGTGAAATACCTCTTCATAAGATTTGTTTTCATTTCATATCTTTAAAAATAAAGTTTCAATTTACAAGAAAATATATCTTAAATTTTTACTAGGATTAGGAGGAGTATAAAAATGAACATAGAAAAAATTAAATAGTTGAATGATGCATAGAGTACCTTTTTAAATATTAAGTTTGACTTTTGTTGAACTGTTCCTTTGTTAGAGCATTTAGACCTTTCAACTCCTTTTGTATCTGGAGGACTTAGTATATTTTACTTTCGTTCCTGTTTAGAAGGTATCATAATTTGTGTTCATTAACCAGATTTTGTTACTAGCAATTGAAATGGGTGTTTCTGTCTTTTAGGACCTTTGGGAATATTCTAATAATTCATTTTTTCTTATTTGATTATTTTTGTGTGTGTACAAGCATAAAGCAAGTATGGCAGGAATATACTTAAAAGAACCTTCAGCATGGCATTGAAAGCTCAAGGTTTAGAATCGGTTGTCTGAATTTGAATCTTGCTCCACCACCTAATATTACACTTTCGTCCTCTGTGTCTCAATTTCCTCCTGTGTAAAATGAGGATACTTAAAGTATTTACTTGCTAAGATTGTGGAGCGTACTTAATACATATAAAGTGTTTAAATAGAAAAGTGTTTGACTCATGGTAAGTGTTTGATGTTTTCTGTTATTAACATTTTATATTTCTAAAGCAATTGATTGAAAAGGTATACATAGCAATAGGATGAAAACTACTAAAGGTTCTAAAATTGATACAAAATATAATTGGAAGACAGTGGTAATTTCTAAAGAGTAAAGCTTCTATTTTCTTTATTTTTTGAAAGTAGAGTTTCTGTTTAAGTTACTTGTTTCTGTTAACATCACCCTTTTTGAGAACATAAACAATAAAAGGAGTTATCAAAATACTTTCAAGTCCCTGGGAATAACTTATTCATTCAGTAGTAAATGAGCACCATCTAGTGGCTACTGTGAATTCATTTAATTTAATACCATTAAATAATACTTGGTTGTGTTTAAAATAATAATGGCCATAATGCAAAAGCATAGTATTTTCTTCTCCTAGATGGTATTTTGTTCCATGTTATTTTTATAGGTGAAGTACAAGAAAGACATTCAGAATATGCATGATCCAGTTTCAGGTCTCCCAAACTTGTTCTTAGACCACGCTTTGAAAGTCAGCAAAATGCTAAGCGGAGTAAGTGGTCCTGTGTTGGCTAGTGTAGACCTGTGACTCCGTGGCGCCCACGTGTCTGAAGTGCTTATGAGCTCACCTGCTTCCTAAGGCGAGCCTGGCCTTCACCCCTCCCCTCAGTAACTAACTTCATGGACACTAGTGTCTGTTGCTTAAATCCCACCCAGGCTGTTGCTTTACAAAGCTGTCTCTTTAATATCTTTTGAATACAAACTTTCTTGTGGAATAGCTACTCTTCAAAGTGTCTATGTGAGCATCCTTTCTGTCTTTCTCCTTCCCCTTTCTTTGTAGTAGACTGAAGTCACTTGGAGGTCAGGCTCTTAAGTCAGCAGTCTTTTATTTTATGCAGGCCAGAGCAGAGTGTCTGGTACTCAGAAGGTCTCAGTAGCATAAAAGTTGTCTTAGTCTGAATTATGTCTTCTCTAAAAATAAATCTCAAGAGTGTTTGCACTGCTGCTGTACTTTTAGTCTTGTGAAGGTTTCCGTGTTTTCTTCAACACAACAAGGAGGGGAGGGTGTCCTAATTAAATATCTGTGTCCCCTGCCCAGTGGCCCATTGCATCAGAACTTGGTTCTTAGATGCTGTTTCCAACACGCAGTGCCTCTGAGCCCTGATGTCACTGGCTCTCATTACTGATGACCCTTGCTCACCTGTGCTTCTGTTTCCTACACCTCAGAATGCCCCCATGTCAGGATGATGAACTCTAATTTGACCTCAAGTTATTTCTATGCCTATTTTAATAATGACTCACTCAAAAATTATCTGCATTTATTATATATCTGTCTTGGATCAGGCACAGATTTGATGGAAAAGTATATCGTCAAAGAATGTTAAAAAGTGAAAACAGTCTTCTTCAGGAGATGTGCCCACAGTCATGGATGAGAAAACTCCGTAGTTATAACCTGCTTCCCAGACCATTAAATAATGAGATAACAACTTCAGTTCAGGTTTAAAAATGCCTACATTTGGCTTTGAAATGTTGGAACTTCTGTTCATTATTTTGCACTTGAAGTGTTATCTGTGTGAATTCATATTCATAGAAGAAATTAATTAATTAAGTATCACTGGTCTTTGGAGGCAAAGCAGCCCATTATTCTTTCCCATCTGTTGAGCAGGGATGAAGGTTGGGAGACCGTCAGGTGCAGAATTAGACTCGGTCCCTGGACACTTAATTCCTGCTGTCCTGCCATTTCAATGCTCATCCTCCTCTGTGCAGACACTCCTGTTTCTTGAGCGACTCTGCTTCAGTTGCACAATTTTTTTTTTTAATTTTTTTTTCATTTATTTTTATTAGTTGGAGGCTAATTACTTTACATCATCATTGCAGTGGTTTTTGTCATACATGAAATGAATTAGCCATGGATTTACATGTATTCCCCATCCCGGTCCCCCCTCCCACCTCCCTCTCCACCCGAACCCTCTGGGTCTTCCCAGTGCACCAGGCCCGAGCACTTGTCTCATGCACCCAACCTGGGCTGGTGATCTGTTTCACCTGATAATATACATGTTTCGATGCTGTTCTCTTGAAACATCCCACCCTCGCCTTCTCCCAGAGTCCACAAGTCTGTTCTATACATCGGAGTCTCTTTTTCTGTTTTGCATATAGGGTTATCGTTACCATCTTTCTAAATTCCATATATATGTGTTAGTATTCTGTAATGGTCTTTATCTTTCTGGCTTACTTCGCTCTGTATAATGGGCTCCAGTTTCATCCATCTCATTAGAACTGATTCAAATGAATTCTTTTTAATGGCTGAGTAATATTCCATGGTGTATATGTACCACAGCTTCCTCATCCATTCGTCTGCTGATGGGCATCTAGGTTGCTTCCATGTCCTGGCTATTATAAACAGCAGTTGCACAATTTTAACCACGACTCAGAGATGTGCTTCTAAAAACCAGTATGTTTCTGAGGTCTGAGCCTCTGCTTTCTTCATAGGTGGCCTCGGCTCATCCAGCTTGATCCTTGCAGTCGCTCTTGACCTTGACTCTTCCTCATCCCTGTTTGGGTTAATTTCCTTTGGACGTGAGGATTCATGCATAAATAAGTCAGCAAAAACGTCCTGGTTATAATTCAAAAACTTGGATTACCATGAAAAATGTAGGCCACTCATAGGCCATATTTCTTTTTGAAAATATTGACCTTTATTTTATAATAGTGGTGAAAAACAGTAATAGTGATCGTTTATATTTTCTCTTTAAGAAAACGCAACAAATTCATATATTACACTTGTTTTATATACCACTTGTAAAGTTTAAACCTTCATTTTTTCTAGATCATAGTTTTTCTCCACAGAAAAATTGTAACTGACCAGTTGCTTCATGAAGAGAAAATTTGAGTCAAAAAACGTGTTACTCTGAAGTCTCTACTTATTAAAGTTGCGCAATATTACATTGGTTCAAATTTATTGTATGTCACAATTGCCTTCTTTTAAATTTTAATGTAAAGAGAATTAGAATTTTGTTGATTTATAAAGGCAACTTAATTTTAGCAAAAGATTGAGTAAGAGAATGCTTAAACAGGCATTCTACCAGAATTAGTTGTCAGTTTGTTATAAATGGCTGGGTTTTAAAGACCTCTAAATGTCTTTGATATAAATCGTAATTTGAAAAATTTTACTGTGTAGAGTAAAATTAGTGCCTTATTAGTTTGTACAACCATCTGATTAAACTGGGGGGGATATTTTTCTTTGGAAAATAGAACACTGTTAGCTTTCAGTTTGTTTGTTTTTTTTAATAACTTTGCATAAATTAAAAAAGTGTATATTGTGTTACTCTGTTACTCCCACTAGGAGGCAACAGAGACTATTATATAAGAAAAAGCAAGTATTGATCATTCTTTTGCAGATCTTAGTTCAAATAGGGTGATTTTCTTTGGTTTAAAAACAGGAATTTCTGAAATTCTGTGTAACTAAAATAGATCATTAAGTGAGGGGCAGTATTTTTTGACCTTTTCTCAGTCTATAACCATTATTCCAGATACAATTCTAGACTTTATTAGTTCTGGATTTTAACTTAGTAATGGAATGTATCCTAGCTTGTTACATGCATTTCATATTTATTTTATAAATATATTTTATAAAATTACTTCTAATCACATCATAACATCTCTAAGTATATTGTTATTCTTTGAAATTATCTTTTAAAAAAATTAGCAGAGAAGCTAAAATGCAGAACTTGTTCTCTTTGGTCAAGATATACTATGTGAACATTTTCATGAGCTTCCTGGGGGTGCTATTTTCCCTTAAAGTATTCTGGTTAGAGTTTGGGCAATACATGTCTTAGTTCCCTAATTGACTGAAAATGCCTCTGGGGACCTTGCTGTGTCCCTAAGGAAAGCAGTTTTCCTGTGTAGGCCACTCGGACCTTCCGTCCTTCCCATCCTTGGCACTGAGGCTGCCTCTTGTTTCACTCTGGATTACTGGAGCATGTTTTAGACCTAAGTGTCCTAGCTTGTTCCTGCTCGCTTTCTAATGCTGCTTACCTCTCCCTCCAGTCTACACTAAATTGCCATTTTCATTGAAATCCTCATTGTCTAAGAAGCGACCAACTTTAGCTTAAGTCTCTGGATACCCGAGTCTTTGAGAGTTACCATTTCCCTCTAAAAGTCTTTTCCAAATAAGGCAAACTTACTAAGTGTCCAATCTCCAGAGGTAAAAATCATAAAGCAATGTTTGTCTTTTTGCTGCCTGCTGTGTTTAGAGTCCTACACTTGCCAAATTTGGCATTCTTATCCATTCTGTTCTCTTCCAAATTCACCTTTTTGTCCGTATGTCTAAAAAGTGTCTTAATCCAGTTTCTTCACCTTAAAAATTCAACCAACCATACCCAGATTCCTTGGTTTCTCTTTCAGCCACCTCCTACCTTCTCCTTTTAGGAAAGCCAGTTGAATTATTTCTTTTTTTTTTTTACTTTCCTGACTCCAGATTTCCTTGCATCTGTTCTTCTTTTCTTTCCTTCTCTTCTTGTAGATGCAGTTATTAATAAATACATTTCTGTTCTAGGATAAGGGCAAGACGAATTGCCTTTATTTTGCCCACTTTGCTTGTTCACAAAAGTTACGGGCTTTTCTGCTGTCACCTCCCAGAGCTGCATATATTATTTATGTTGGCTTTAGAGCCAGTAGTCCTCTGCTTCTCTTGAGTGTTTTAGATGCTGTTCACTTGGACCACCAAGAGCTGGTCTGTCTCCCACTGCCGCTTTAGCTCGGGGTCAGCAGTCCACACGACCAGCTGACAGCAGATGGGAACTTAGCAGCTTTGCAACTCTCGTTCGCTTGCATTTTTCATCGTGCCCTCCTAAGTATCAGTTGCTCTTAACAGACCCTTCTATTCTTACTTTATTTTTGTGTTCTTTTTTTAGCGAGAATATAGAAAGGTTTTTGAGGAAAACAAAGGCACGTATCATTTTGACGTGGATGCTGCGGAACACTTGCACCATAAAGGCAACGCCGTGCTCCAGAGTCAGGTACGAGGCCTCCCCAACCTGAACTCAGCAATGCTCATTGCTGGCACCTCCACAGAGAATGTGCAGCTGCTGGGAGGGACGTGCATCGTGAGAAAAATCTCAGACCCTGTTCTCGCTCTGTTTATTAGGTTAGGGATGCTTGAACCATGTTTCGGCAGGCAGGCATTTCATAATATAGTTACTGTGCACAATTTAGAACTTACAAGATATGAGTTAATTAATTAACTAACTGTCAAATCTCATAATACTGAAAACTTTTATAGTATACTGGTCATTTTGAGCTGCAAAAGTATAATTTTCCAGGCATGAAGTTTATTATAATTTTTCAGCTCAGTTGTAAGTGTATTAAAAATGGGAAATTATCTTACCAGTCTATTCTGCCTTAATGTTTCTTTCAACTATGAGATTCTATGTACTCTCTGAAAGAAACTTTTAAAAATATATTTTTCCTTGAATACATTAAAGTTGATAACTTTTTAAATTCTGAATTTCAGTAATTGAAAAAAATATTATTTCCAGCATCTATTAAGATAAAATTTAAATCACTCTTTTAAATAAACCCCATGGAACATAAATTCCATAGTGATATGATACCTACCTTCATTTATTTAAAAAATATACAAACCAGCTCAACTTTAAGGTACAAAAGTATACATTTTTTTTCTCTTTGCCTTTTTATTTTTATTTTGTTTCTCCACAAAATTTTACCCTAACACAGTGTTCACTTTCATAGTTCACTTTCATTGATCTTTCTATTATACCCCTCTAAAACAAAAATATTCCTAAAAACAGGAATTTAAAAATTTGTTATATGTTCTGCTACTACAAAGTTCTGTTTTGAAAAGATTCTTTTGGATTTACATACCATTAAAATTATTTTTATTATAATGAAGTTTAAGAACAAATTTCATTATATATAAGGATTCTACTGAAAATACGTATCTCAATAAAATGAATCATGATCAAAACTATGAATTTTATTTAAAAAGGTGTATTGCTAAAAAAAGCCGACCACTCTTGCAGCTTGCGGAATACAATTCTAGTTTTTGTTTTTAGGAGATAGAAAATATTGATCATTTTATGAACCGAAACAGATAAAGATTGGTTGTAATGAGTAAATAATTCATGATATGATCTGATTAAATAACGCTTAGCGAAACTGAAGGAAGTCACATAAACGCGCTGTGTGTGTTTCACTCACCGTCTGTGGGAAAATTCAGCAGTCCTGAAGAACACTGTCCTTCCTTTGTCAGAAAGGCAGACTGTCACAGCTCTGGTTTTCTTCTTGTTCGTGATTTACTGATAGGCATCAAAGTTATCACAGTGATCTCTCTGTCTCTTTTTTCCTCTGTCTCAGCCTCTCTGTGTCTTCTCTCTCTCTCTCTATGTACCTATGTACATACGTATATATGTACCTATACATGTGTGTGTATTAATGGCATGTGTGTTTACATGTATAACTCCACATGTGATATGTATCTGTCTATCCCATCTGTTTACATATACAAGTCCTAGAACTACATTATTTAATTCTAAACCATTCATATCCCTTAAAAACTTTAATATGTTGCCTGTTTCCTTTCTTTGTATATCATTAACCACAGGGAACCTAGTGATCAGATGGCCAGAACATTGTGATTTTTAGAAAATAGGGTGATCGATTTTGCACATATATTTATTTTACTTTGTGTAAGGGCTTGTGCGCTTTATGTGCCATTTATACTTTTTTTTATGAAGGTGAAGTACAAAGAAGCGTATGAGAAAAATAAGGGGAAATCGATGCTTGAATTTGTTGAGACACCGTCATATCAAGTTTCAAAGGAGGCTCAGAAGATGCAGAGTGAGGTGAGTCTTTTTGTTTTGCTATCAACTATTTAGAGCAAATTTGATGTTTTGTCATTGAAAGAGTGGTTCAGAGGGTTTAGTGCGTCTGGAAGAAAGTATACTGCACTGGCCAGACCAAGGGATCTGCACTATAGACCCAGGCATCTAGTCCAGGTCATTGATTTTTTTTTCCTGGCTCTCAGTTTCCCAGCTTTCCCCATTTGGCAAATATGAATACTAGGCCAGGTGAGCTTTTGCATTCTGTGATGATAAAATTGACACTTTCAGGCTGTGTCCATGTAAAATTATGATGAGCAGATAAAAACTAAAAGGAAAATGAAGGGCTGGTTCCTTTACTTACCTTTTTTTTTGTAATGAAAATAGAGCTAACATTTGTTAAGTACTTACTCTGTGCTAGGTGACAGGCTGAATGTTTTATATATGTTGGCTCATTTAATCCTCTCAAGGTAATGATGCTAGGTAGGTATATTCCTACACTGATAATGCATCCATTGAAATTAATTGTCTTACCTAAAATTACTTATCTAATAAGTGCTAATGGGTAAAATTCATAAATTATTCCCTTTTTCCTGTTAATTTATTTAACTGATTCTCCCCCTACCTCTGGCTAATAATCAGTGACATCAGAAACTTTCAAGGAAGTTTCAAGGCATCACGAGAAGAGATCAATTATAAGTTTTTTTTTCTACTTATCCATTTAATTCTCTACTTAAGATAATGCTAGGTCACATCCATATAGTCACCTGATACTGGTTCCTGTCTATCCCAATGAGATTTCTTCTGTTGTTTTTTTGGGGGGGGGGCAGAGGGGGTGAGGAATCAGACACCAGACACAGATGGTTTTGTCTACAGACACATCAAATTTCTGTGGGTACAACCAAGTTTTTACTTCAAAGGGACAGAAGTAGTGGGCAGTTACTATCAGCTGGTTACAACCACAATGCTAGACTCCAGGCATGCTCAATGGGCAAATCTTTTCTAGTTTTTAAAAACAACATCAAAACAAGGCGACATGATAATTTATTTCTTCTTTTTATTTGGCTGCACTGCGTGGCTTGTGGAATCTTTGTTCTCTGACCAGGAATTGAACCCTGGCCTTGGCAGTGGAAGCACCGAGTCCTAACCACTGGACCTCCAGGAAATTCCCAAGAAATGATAATTTCTAGACAGCAAAACCCTCCTAGGAATTTATTAAACATCACATGTGCTTTGTTGAAATGTTATGATACATCTTCTCAGACAAAGGGCATGCAGATTACTGTGGCTTGTTGAATTTCAGAATTGTTTAATTTCTTCTTCAGGGGAGAGGAGAGAAAATAATTACTTGTATTTTTCATATCTTGTATTTTCTTGAGCCAGTAAAGGGGAATTTGATCAAGAATGGTTCAGTGACTGTTTAACCTGAATCAGTCAGTTCTTTTGAAGTGAATTGACAGAGCAGGTAAACTTGATCAAAATTCAAAAGCCCTACAAAAACTCACATTTAATGGGATGACTCACTGGAATATCTTTTGTTATAGTCTGTTTGGGCTGCTCTAACAAAGTACCACAGACTGGGTAGCTTAAGCAATAGAAACTTATTTCTCATAGTTGAGGAGGCTGGAGGTCTGAGGTTAGGGCGCAGCGTGCTGAATCCTGGGCTGCAGACCGCTGGCTTCTTGTGTCCGCACATGATGGAGAGCAGCGAGGGGAAGGAAGCAGGCTTGTTAGTGACTCTCTGAAGGACGTGAATCCCATTCATAGTCTCTCATGTATGGTGGCCTCATATAATCCTCATCACGTCCTGAAGGCCCCACCTCCTAATGTCCTCTTGTTGTGGGGAGGTAGGGGATCAACATACGGGTTTTTGAGGGACATATTCAGTCCATAGCACCTTGTCTGCATTCTAAGAACAGTACATAAAGTACTGTATATATCCTTCACATCGCCTTCTTCTCTTTCATTGCTAGTTGCTGTTAGTGCCTATTCGTGTTCGTCATTGCTAGTGCCAGATTTCAAATTGATTTCCCTCTGTCTTGTTGTCAGTGAACCACAGTCCAGATAAAGGTTTCTACTTTCATGAGCCATTTGGGTTCTCTGGAAGTTTAAGACTACATGAAGTTGTCAGGTAAATTTACGTGAGAGACACAGGTCTCAAAAATCATGTTACTTTTCTGACAACAACATGAAGAAGGAGGTACTGGTGTCTCGGGATTACCCTCATTCTCTCCTGGGTCTGCTGACTCCACTTCCCCGTACCTCTTCCTCAGTCACGGGAACACCCACGCTGAGGACGCCTGTACCATTCTGGTCTCACGGTTCCTTGATTTTTTTCCTGTACAAGTTCACTTACTTTCTTCTCACCAAGAAATCCTGGAATGTAAATGCATGATTAATATATCCTAATGTTGCATTTCTGTATTAGGAATGATGGTAGCATATGATTTGAGATATTATGTTAAGGTTGTTAGTGGGAAGACTCAGAGGTGATAGAATTATATAAGAAAAACATCGATTTGGTTCCAGGAACACTTGTTCTGTTATCTTTTCAACAGTCACTGGTATTTTCTAAATTGAAAATTATGTGGTCTTACTTTATAGAAAGTTTACAGAGAGGATTTTGAGAAGGACATTAAAGGAAGGTCATCAATGGATTTAGACAAGACTCCAGAGTTTTTACATGTAAAGTACATCACCAACCTTCTGAAGGAGGTATGGTCCTACTATTTACTCTGTAGTTCTGCAGAAGAAATTTAAAGAAATAACCCAGAAAATATGCACTAATCAATTCTCTACTAATTCTCGAATTCAGTGTTATTCATCCATTACTCTTTCATTCATATTGACCTTCACTAATACAGTTTTATGTTTTCATTAAAAACAGGAAAGTGTTAATATTTCTATTTAATGTTGAAGGATGAAATTACCCAGATTTCCTTGAAAAACTTGAAAAATACTTTGATTTTATGTTTGGCTTGTAGCTTAGAGGCCCTACAAGTACTTTTATAGCTTTACAGCAGTTAGTTTTTTAAAAAAATATTTTCAGTGTGGATGAGGTTAGCTGGATTCTCTCAAATTTAGTTATTATAAACCACATATTAGAACCAGCTTTTTCTGTAACTTCTCTGCAGCGTTCTTATGACATGTGATATCAGAAATGAGGTGATGTGTGAAGGTCTGGGTAAATGGTACATTCATAAGTGGCTTGTGTTCTAAGTAGGGAAAAAATAATATATTTAGCACATACAGCATAAGAATTCATTTCCATTTTTCATTTTATACTCAGCAGCATTTCCCCCCAACCCCTAAACTTAGTGATACATTTTGGCTCACAATGTTATTAAATTTGTTGAACATTAAGGCCCTCAAATCTAACAATTAAAAATATCATGTTCACAGTTTAAAAGTTTTTTTTTTGTTTCTGCTTTTTTTTTTTTTTAATAGTTTCTAAGTAACTTCGAACTCTTTCAGTTCTTTGTTTAAATAGTTTCTCCCATCCAAGTACTAACCAGGCCCAACCCTGCTTAGCTTTCGAGATCAGACGAGATCGGGTGCCTTCAGGGTGGTATGGCCGTAGACAGTAGTTTCTCTTTACATTAAGAGAAAGCATCAGAGAACTCCATTTTTTCCTAAATTTTGAGTGGAAGTCCCTGAAAGAAGAAACTATCCCTGTCTTAAACCAGTGGAACAGAGTATAATTACCTGCATAGATGTTAATCATCATGAACTTCTTTAATGACGAAACACCAACTGGCTTTAGCATTTAACTACTCATAGAAATTTAATGTGATTCACTGTTGTAATGTATGCTGGGCTGAAGTAGGCATATCATGGAAGAGAATTCTTGCTACCCTATCTCTTCTCACTTCTAGTTCCTATAAAATTTTTTGAAGTTAAAGGGTGATCATGTGACAACTTCCTGCTATTATTGTCTTCTATTTAAATAATATGCACTATTTACATGAATTTTTAAAAAGAGAGTCTTTTATTATTTACATACAAATGAAAATGTGAGATCTATTTTGAGAATTGCAAATGACTTTAATATACATACCATTGCCATTTTCTTTTTTTTTTTTACCATTGCCATTTTCTTTTATTTTTCCTTGTGAATGAATCTTATTTTAGACTTATTGATTCAGAATGTATGCATCAGTATAAGAAAAAGTCCAGAGACTATGATTAAAAATCTTTTAATTAAGTTAGTGATACTGATATCTAATTTTAAAAAGAGACTCATGACTTAATGAAATTGTGACTTCATTTTAAATGTGTAAGCATTTAGCTTCAAATTGTCTTTGCATTCTTTATGGTTTTTGCATTGCTGTTGTCATATAATGTATCTTTTTATGTTTAATTTGATTCCCTCAGTTGTCCTTGACACTGGTATAGCAAGTATTTTTATTTTCATTTTGTCCCTGTGAAAATCAAGGCTTAGTTACTTAAAGTCCTCTTGAAGGTCACAAGACGAACAAGTGAAAGAATCCAGGTCATTTGACTCCAGAGCTCTTTCCAAAATTACATGCAGGTCATTACAATGTCTTGTAGGCTATTAGTTGAGCAGAGGGCCAGCTAATTTAATTAAACTGGACAAAGAGAAAATAACATCAAATGAACCCTAGAATTAACTAGAATATGATTTCTTATCCTTAAAGGAAGTCTCATCTTTCATCTGACAAGTTAGTCATAAAGGCAACTTAACTGAATTGGATTAAGATATACATTGTTTTCATAATTCAATTAGTAAGAAGACAAATTTATTAGCACAAACCAAAAAAACCATATTATATGTACAGATTAAAGACATTTGGATCTACTTAAAATATTATGTTAAAATGGGTGAAATTCAGACTATATATTATCAATTTGTAGGAAATTATTTGGTTTTACATATCTTTGAATAAAATGTAAACAAAAAATTGGCTAAATCAGTCCTTTTGATTTTTGTAATTTTTCGCTCTTTTCCAATTATGTTCTTTTAATGATTCATATTTTATAGACAGCTTTCAAAGAAATACTTCAAGTAATTAGTAAGAAGCATGCATTCTTAAGACCTTCCTTACCATTTAAAGGGAAGAGGGGTGGGATGGGAAGGGAGATGGGGGGGAGATTGAAAAGAGGTGGTATATGTATACCTTTGGCTGATTCATGTTGAGGTTTGACAGAAAACAGCAAAATTCTGTAAAGCAATTATCCTTCAATAAAAAAATAAATAAATTTTAAGAAAGGGAAGATATCTTTTAAAAATATGGCTCCAATATGGTGCCAAAACATGTGGGAAGACAGGATAAAAGAAAAAAGATTGATAGTATTGGAAACCACACAACCATGACTAAAAGAGAACATGAAGTATCTGTAGGAAATAAAGAGCATGAATGCTTGGAAATCTGGTTCATTCCTTTCTAGAAATATTTTCTTTCTGTGGTCTCTGGAAACATATAAAACAGTATATAAATTAAAGAGTTTCCCAGTAAATTTCAAACAGTAATATTCTTGTTTCATAGAAGGAATATAAAAAGGATTTGGAAAATGAAATAAAAGGGAAAGGAATGGAGCTTAATTCCGAAGTACTTGATATTCAAAGAGCAAAACGAGCATCTGAAATGACTAGTGAGGTGAGTTCATTTATTTAACAATTGAGAATATATGAATTTTCAGCTGATTTCCTTGTCTGTAAGTCTTTCTCAGAGATTATACAGTTGACCTTTGGACAAAATGGACTTAAACTGTGCAGGTCCACTTATACATACTTTTCAATTGTAAATTCTGCAATCCTCCACAGTCCATGATTGGTTGACTCTGTGAATGCTGAGGATCCTCGGATGTGGAGGAACCTCTCATGTGGAGGGCTGACGATAAGTAATAGGGGAATTAACCCTCTTGTTGTCTGTGTTAACTGTATATAAATGTTCTGCAGCTTTTATGTGTAAGGTGGTAATAAGCATTATGTCTAGTAATCTTTTTGCAACCAATGAATTTTTTAAAAAAAGGATGCTCACCATCTCCTGTCTATGTGGTATGAGAAAAATGAACATTTCCTTATTTCAGAAAAAATTCTATATACTTAACCAAAATAATTGAAGAAGATTTAATGTCATCTTTTAAACTAGTGAAAGGCAGATGAGGAAGGTAGTCTGTTAGTAATTACAGTTTAAAAGTTCACATGCTCACTGGCTGTCCCAGTTCTTGGCTAGCTACTGAGTCCACTTAAACCTCTATAAAATGAAAATGGCCATTACTCACTTTACATGAAATTTTTAAAGAAAGAAGTGCCTCTGAAGTGCTGTAAGTTCTTTAATCCTTGTGTTACCGCATTACTTTGTTAGCAAATAATGACACTGTCTTTGAGGAGAGTCCAGCTGACTTTAACAGTGAAGAAATTTAAGACTTTACCCACATATGTCAATAAACCATGGTAATGATAATGATGGTCACAATGATGATGCTGATGTGACTGTATTAGTCGGGTTGCACATGATAGAAACCCAAGTCAAACCTGATTAGGAAACTGTTTTGGTTTAAGAACAGAGAAATCTGAGGATCACTTTCAGGTTGGAATTTGAATACTGTCCCTTTTCCTTCATCTCTCTCTTCTGTTATCTTCACTCTTGCTTTGCTCTTGAGAGGCTGTTTCTATGTGATGGCACCTCTTCACGACAGTCATGTGTGACGCTTTGTGACCCCATGGACTATGTAGTCTGTGGAATTCTTCAGGCCAGAATACTGGAGTGGGTAGCCTTTCCCTTCTCCAGGGGATCTTCCCAACCCAGAGATCGAACCCAGGTCCCCCACATTGCAGGTGAATTCTTTACCAGCTGAGCCACAAGAAAGCCCAAGAATACTGGAGTGGGTAGCCTACCCCTTCTGCAGTGGATCTTCCCGACCCAGGAGTGAATCGGGGTCTCCTGCAGGCAGATATTTAACCAACTGAGCTACCAGGGAAGCCCCCTCTTCATGACAGAGTAACTCATCTCTGTTTGCTTACAATATGATTAAGGTCTAAGGATTGAGTCTTAATGAGCCACCTTCTGTCTTGCCCCCAGACTCAACCCAGTCATTCTCTCTGGAGTCAGAGGAAAGTCATGTGCTGATGATCTAGTATGGTTCTCAGGGTTACCATTGTTCAGCTCACTTTCTAGTATCTTAATGGTGTTTTAAGTATAAAATGTTCTAAATTGATATGTATTTTTTAAAGATTTATATTCATCTTTGGCTTATGTTTTTTTACATAAATTAAAAGAAATATTAAAATTTTAGTGGAATTGAAAATATATGTAGGAAAAATCACACTCACCCCAGAACAACCCACCCAGAGTTGATGGATTAAGAGAGATTAGAGGTAATTCCTTAAGGGAAAATTGTGGAACTTTTTGCCAGAAAATGCAGAAACAACACTGTCCACCATGATGTCTTGGACTAACATTGTCACCACACTTATCTATAGCAGTAATTTTCTATAATTTTTTTCTGTTGTGTGTGATATATCTAGTGACATTCAGAGTTCAATTTTGTAAGTTACTTATCAGTAATACTTGGGAAATGTTTTTCAAGCTCTCAGTGGCAGAGTTCATCCAAAAAGAGTTGATGGCAAGACAGTGGCAGGAGCACCAATAAACCAGGCCTTAGCATGTGGATATAGGAGTAAAAAACTGGAAAAAAGCTATCAGTTACAGAAAACCCACTCTGTTCTGGGCAGTAGGCTACTTGCAGTCTCAGTGATCCTCACAGTGATCCTGCACAGAGGAACTATAATCCTCATTTTGCAGATGAGTAAACCAGAAATGTGAAGAAACAGTTCCAGTATCACTCACGTGGCCACGAGTGCTCTAACCACACAGTCTTCTTTCTAAAAAATCCACTCAATTAAACTTGCCTTCCAATCCTTCTGACCCCAAGACAGTTGTCAGTGAAGATTGTCACCTGGCAGTTGCCTTTATATAGCTAAAATCTTGAGGGTGTATATACTCTTCTTCAGTGAGGATAGTGAATATAGTTCTAAGCAGTTCAGAAAATTTAGGTCTAGGTGATCATGCATAGTACAAAGTAAGCTCTGTTTTCTTCTTTAAAAAAAAAAAGACATGTTTAGCTATTTTTTGGCATCATTGAATACAGATATGTCTTTGTCCCCTCAGTGTCTGAGTATTGCAAAATGTTGCTTTTTTATAGAAAGAATACAAGAAAGACCTGGAATCAGAAATTAAAGGGAAGGGAATGCTAGTTGGCACTGACACCCTTGGAATTCAGCATGCCAAAAGAGCTTCCGAGATAGCGAGTGAGGTGAGTATTGAGAGCGAGTGACATAGATCTGGAGGCTCCTGCTTTGGAACTTAACAAATCATAATAACAAACTGATTAATACATGGACTTTTTCAAAGCTTTCTGTGACTAGTTTAACAGTTTGAAATGGAAACCATTCACAATCATCATGCTTACTGGAAAAATTCACAGTTTCTGCTTTGCTCATTAACTTTAAGTATGTCGAAGAAAACTTGGAGAAGGGCATTTTAATAGAACACACAGACACAGACACAGATACACTTTTTAACTTTATCCCATAATACAAGTTTCATGTTAATTTTACTCTATGATTAATATCTTCATACCATTTTTTTTTGAGGATGGATCATGTGCTACTTGGCACATTTCATTTCCAGCTATGTGAGCAGAACTTGAAAATCACACATAGAGATTGTAACATGACAATGATGCTATTTTTGTTTGTTTGGTTACGTGTTCTCAAAATATGCTCTGTTGACCTCAACAGTATGTCTGAAGTTTCTGTAGAATCAGCATTTTGTGTTGAAGTTCATTCATCTAAAACCATTTCTTCTTCATGTAATACATGAACGACAGGATATTGAAGTTTTGTCTTAGATGCTATTATGTGATAGATATAAAATAACAAAGTTGTAGGAGTCAGATCTTACATGTATTTTTCAAATGAAATAGCCCAGAATCAGTTCTACATCTCTTGAACTCCCCCAGAAAATTTGAAAATACAGAAGGGCCACTGGAGCAGAGAGTGTTTGGGAAGAGATGATTTAAAAGAAACACGTGTAAAGTGAAAGTTGTGGTGCAGCTCCCATACCTCAAGGCTGGCTGGGGTTGAGGCTCCAGTAGCACTACTCTGAGAGCTATGATGTGACATTTGCATTTCGGCAGAGCTAGCTTAGGACTGACTCCCACTCAGGGAATCTGGAGGCTGAGAAGTAGCTGAATAACTACCAGGGGAGTTACTGCTGTGCTGAGATCTGCTTCCATCCCCAGGGTTAGATACTGGCCAGGGGAATGGGATGGTGATCACTTTGCTTCAGATACAGAAACTAGGGATGGCCTAGACTTCTTGACCGAAAGAGATTCCATTCAGAAATGGTGGGAACGATAACCCTATGTGCAAAACAGAAAAAGAGACTCCTATGTATAGAACAGACTTGTGGACTCTGGGAGAAGGCGAGGGTGGGATGTTTCAAGAGAACAGCATTGAAACACGTATATTATCTAGGGTGAAACAGTTCACCAGCCCAGGTTGGGTGCATGAGACAAGTGCTCGGGCCTGGTGCACTGGGAAGACCCAGAGGGATTGGGTGGAGAGGGAGGTGGGAGGGGGGACCGGGATGGGGAATACATGTAAAAAAAAAAAAAAAAAAAAAAAAGATACACTATGGTTGTGATAAAAAATAAATAAATAAATAAATAAATTAAAAAAAAAAAAAAAGAAATGGTGGGAGTGGGGTGGGAGGATGCATGCTGAGCAGAGACTTGAAAACCTTCTGCCCCTAATTCTACCCCTAATTCTGTCATCCTCCTGAGAGATAGCCATTGTTAGGAATTTTCTGTAGAGCCTTCCAGATCTATTTTTCTGTGTATATAGATAACTATACATTTGTGCACAAGGAACTGAAAAAAACCTTAAATAAATACGATGTACTTTGGGCTTGCTTTTCTCACTGAATATTATGGACCCTTTTCCATGTTCAATTCAGTTCAGTTCAGATCAGTCGTTAAGTCGTGTCCGACTCTTTGCGAACCCATGGACTGCAGCATGCCAGGCCTCCCTGTCCATCACCAACTCCCAGAGTTTGCTCAAACTTTTGTCCGTTTAGTCAGTGATACCATCTAACCATTTCATCCTCTGTCGTCCCCTTCTCCTCGGGCCTTTAATCTTTCCCAGCATCAGGTCTTTTCCAATGAGTCAGTTCTTTGCATCAGGTGGCCAAAGTATTGGAGTTTCAGCTTCAACATCAGCCCTTGCAAAGAATATTCAGGACTGATTTCCTTTAGGATGGACTGGCTGGATCTCCTTACAGTCCAAGGGACTCTCAAGAGTCTTCTCCAACACCACAGTTCAGAAGCATCAATTCTTCAGTGCTCAGTTTTCTTTACAGTCCAACTCTCACATCCATACATGACCACTGGAAACACCATAACTTTGACTAGATGAACCTTTGTTGGCAAAGTAATGTCTCTGCTTTTTAATATACTGTCTAGGTTGGTCATAACTTTTCTTCCAAGGAGCAAGTGTCTTTTAATTTCATGGCTGCAGTCACCATCTGCAGTGATTTTTGGAGCCCCCCAAAATAAAGTCTCTCACTGTTTCCACTGTTTCCCCATCTATTTCCCATGAAGTAATGGGACCAGATACCATGACCTTAGTTTTCTGAATGTTGAGTTTTAAGACAACTTTTCCACTCTCCTCTTTCACTTTCACCAAGAGGCTCTTTAGTTCTTGTTCACTTTCTGCCATAAGGGTGGTATCATCTGCATATCTGAGGTTTTTTATATTTCTCCCAGCAATCTTGATTCTAGCTTGGGCTTTATCCAACCCAACATTTCTCATGATGTACTCTGCATATAAGTTAAATAAGCAGGGTGACAATATACAACCTTGACGTATTCCTTTCCCCCATTTGGAACCAGTCTGTTATTCCATGTCTAGTTCTCACTGTTGCTTCTTGACCTGCATACAGATTTCTCAGGAGGCAGGTCAGGTGGTCTGATACTCCTGTCTCTTTCAGAATTTTCCACACACAGTTTGTTGTGATCCACACAGTAAAAGGCTTTGGCATAGTCAATAAAGCAGAAATAGATGTTTTTCTGGAACTCTCTTGCTTTTTCAGTGATCCAGCAGATGTTAGCAATTTGATCTCTGGTTCCTCTGCCTTTTCTAAATCCAGCTTGAGCATCTGGAAGTTCATGGTTCATATACTGTTTAAGCCTGGCTTGGAGAATTTTGAGCATTACTTCACTAGCATGTGAGATGAGTGCAATTATGCCGTAGTTTGAGCATTCTTTGGGATTGTCTTTCTTAGGGATCGGGATGAAAACTGACCTTTTGCAGTCCTGTGGCCACTGCTGAGTTTTCCAAATTTGCTGGCATATTGAGTGCAGCACTTTCACAACATCATCTTTCAGGATTTGAAATAGTTCACCTGGAATTCCATCACCTCCACTAGCTTTTTCCATAGTGATACTTCCTAAGGCCCCCTTGACTTTGCATTCCCAGATGTCTGGCTCTAGGTGAGTGATCACACTGTTGTGATTATCTGGGTTGTGAAGATTTTTGTGGTATAGTTCTTCTGTGTATTCTTGCCACCTCTTCTTAATATCTTCTTTTCCATGTTACTTCATGTAATTCTACCTCATTGTTACAGAAAAATTGTGTTCTGTAACATGGATATAAATATGCAACCATTTGCCTTTAATGTCCTATAGGCATTACCACATGTCAATGACACTTAAATATATTATAATAGGGACTTTACATAACATACTGAAAATACTCATTTTTTTCCTTGGATCTGCTTCCTTCTTTCACCCATACCTTTGCAAGTGTTATCAGTGAAATCCCAGAAGTTACTTTGATTCCTCTTGTCAGCAAGTTTTATTGACTCCACAACTATAATGATTTCCTAGGTTCATCTACCTCTCCCCACTTTTGTCCAAGCCACCATCTCTATCTCCTGGATCATTGCAGTAGCTTCCTAAACAAGATTCTGCTTCCAACGTTGACCTCATTCTCAACCCAGAAGCCAGAACAATCCTTGAAGAGTTAAGTGTTCTGATTTCTCCCACTGAAAACCCTCCAGTGGTTTCCAGTCATTGCAGTATGGGCACCGTACTCCTTGCTCTGGTGTGGTGCCATACTCCCCTCCCGCTCATTCTCAAACCCCTGTTCCGTTCTTCCCTTGCTCATTGTATTCTAGCCTTAAAGGCTCCAGGCTGGCTGCACCTCCACAGGTTTTACCATCTCTGTATAGCTCTGTTTCTTCCTGAAAGTCCTTCCCCTTGTCTTTGCATGGCTGGCTCTTTCTTGTCCTTCCTTTATTGGATTTATTAGTACTTCCTTATGGTGGCCTCCTTGGGCTTCTGAGTAACTGACTATCTAGCAACTATCAAATCACTACTTATATTTTCTGTTATTTTTGTTATTATGAAGAGAGTGCAATGTCCAGTGTTCTTTCAAGGTCCTGGATTGGACTATGGGGGCGGGATGGGGAATTTGGAGCTGGAGAAGAGTCTTCAAAACTATCCTCATGGGACTGAACTTGAAGCCAAAAGAAAGTGTACTTTCTCTGGAGAAAGTAATGTAGAAAGAACAGAAATTTTGCATTTCACACTCTTACCTAAGAATCTTCTATGACATATTCCTTTTATGACAAGTTGGAGTGTTGCATGTTTCCTTAGAATGGTAATACATTAGTTTATTCAGAGATAGACTGATTGAGGTGTCTCTGTATACCTCGGGACTGTATTTAGTTGACACTTGAACAACACAGGACATTAATTCCTGTATAATTTATGGTCTGCTCGGTATATCCATGGTTTCTCCACACCCACAGGTTGAAACAACTACAGACCATGTAGTGCTGTGGTAGTTACTATTCAAAAATATAACCATACAAGTGAAGCTGCACAGTTCAAACCCATGTTTTTCAAGACTCAGACTCACTAGGAAAATGGTGCATTTTGGTTATTGAGAACCCACAGGAAAAACAGGCCTTGAAGAGTCAGCTGTACTGTGGCCCAGGCCAATTCTGGTGATGCTGTGTCTTTGTCATCCAGAGTCTCATTTGCATGTAATTATAGCTATGTTGCATTTTGCTCCAATGACAGGTTCTCAAGTCCTTTTCAACCAGACTTCAGGACTTTGCTATAGTTCAACGTTTGTTTTTTCAAGTAAAGTGAATGTGCTATATTGTTACACAGATGACCTCTCACAGTTCAACTTTCCTGGTACCAGTGGGCTTGACCATGTGATTTTCATTAACAAATCTGACTCAGGCTCTTGGAACATAGATGTCATCATGTTTTTCTTTTAAGTTTTTCTAAGTTGTAAGATATTTTATTATGCATCAATATTAGCTGATGTGACTAGAGTCCATGTAGCCTATTTATGTGCTTTTGAATGCCTTTAGATTTGAAAATTCATATTGGAAATATTAAATGACATATTTCTACCATGGAATTTTGGTGGTAATCTACGATCAATACCTCAGTTTCTACATATATTGTCTTTCAAATGAAGTGTTTTGCTTTTGAGCCTTAGCTAAAAGCAGAGCTTTTTACAGGCGTAGTGATAATTTAATATTATTAGTTTGAAAGTCAAACATTTTTACTTGAATGTTTAACTTTATTATTATTTCACTTGAAGAAAGTGAAACTGAGACTGTAAGTCAGTGAAAATAGGCAGATTTATGGGTAGCAGACTTACGGGTAGATAGTAAATAGCATTTCTCTAGATTGAAATTTTTGTTTATGACTTCTCTAAATTTACAACATCACAAATAAGCAAAGCAAAATTTACTTTATAGCATGGAATTACAAATCTTGAGTATGTCAGCATAATAGGAAATAATTGTTTTTGAAGAAATTTAATAGGATATAGTCAGTAGTTGCCTTTTAATGTAATTTTCATTGAAGAATAACATACATACAGAAAAATGCTCAATTATAGGAATAAGAATAATCAGTAACTTTAAAATGTGACAGGAGTATCTTAAGACAGTTGTGTGTGTGTAATCGTGACATTTTATAGGTAACAGATAACCCAGCTCAAAAAAGCAGATAATTTTTATTGTTTTTGTAACCCACCAGTAGAGGAATTCTTGGGCATGGCTTAGTCTGGGACTTACATAGTGTGATTCTGTTTTAGTTTCTGACTTTCTCTTCTCAGGCAGGCTTTCTTCTCCCATTTGCAAGAGGCTCAGGGCAGCTCCCCGGGCTGCAAACTTCTCCATTCATGTCCAGAAGGAAAGAAAAGTCTCTTGATATATTGTGTGGAAAGAGAAATGTTCCCTTCCTTAAATGTACCAATCGTGAAGGGCCAGGGGTAGGGTATAACGATTTTCTTTAGCCCATTGGGGTCCTTGCACTGGGGCCAGTCTCAGCCAAGTTGGAGGGCTTAGAACAGGAAGCATCGAGTTGCCCAGTGACAAATCAAGGAGCTAATGAAGGAAAAACAGGAGTGAGATTACAGGAGGCAACCAGCAATTATTCACTACAGAATGAGATACAACAATTTTTTAAAATCAATACATATTTAATTAAATGTTTTCATAGTATAACATTTTGTCAACTAGACAATAGCAATGTAACACATGTATTATAAAGTTACATATATATTATCTTCCATAAGAGATGTAATTATACTTTAGTATAGTCTATTTAATATGAATTAGGGCTTTTGCCAGTAAAGATGAAAAGAATATACCAATGGCCATACCAAAGCACATGAAAGGATGCTCAGCATCATTACCATCAGTGAAATACAAAAGAAAGCCATAGAGATGTATTACTTCACACCCACTAAAAGGCTAGGATAAAAAAAAAACACAGATTATAACAAGTGTTAGTGAAGTTGTAGAGAAGTTGGAACCCTTCTTATGTATTGTTGCTAGGATTGTAAGACGGAATACTCACTTTGGAAAACAGTTTGGCAGTTCCTCAAAAGGCTAAACAGAGTTACCATATGACCCAGCAATTTCACTTCTAGGTTATATACTCAAGAGAAATGAAAAGTTATGAGATGTGACATTTTTACACTCACATTTTATTGATATTCATTGAATTATATACTAACCAATATTTTATCAATTTAATGAAATATAAAATATTTTCCTTCACCTCCCTCTGTTTTCTTTCTTAAGTCAGGTTAGTAGAAAAAAAGTTGCCTGAGTCCTTGTGGTCACTCCAAGTTGTGTTCTGCAACAAATTAAGTCTTTGTCATTTCCTAGAAAAAAAGAAGTGAATTTAGGTCCAGTTTATTTCTAAAAGCCATGATCTTGACATCAAAAATGACATCAAGTTTTTCAATGCAGAGTTTCAAATTATTATAAGGCCCTAATTTTAGGTTTTATTTTCTGCAGAAAGATTATAAAAGAGATCTGGAGACTGAAATTAGAGGGAAAGGCATGCAGGTGAGCACAGACACTCTTGATATCCAGAGAGCCAAGAAAGCATCTGAAATGGCCAGCCAGGTAAGAAACTAATGGGACACAAAGTTTAAAACAAACACATCAAATTGTATACAGAAGAGATATAAATGGTGTTTCCACATGTGTGACATTGAGATTCAAACATGTAAATATCTGCATTGCTATGGAAGGCCATGCAAAGCTCTGAAGATTGTTTTCTGTTCTTTTAGAAAGAATATAAGAAAGACTTAGAAAATGAAATTAAAGGGAAAGGAATGCACATGAGCATGGATGTCCCGGATATGCTTCGAGCCAAGAGGGCATCTGAAATCTATAGCCAGGTTGGTAGAGAATGAAGATGCTCAGGATAATATATTCTAATATCCCATCACCTTCTGCTCTGTGTGTCTCTATGATTTGTGTCTTTTTGAGGGCTTTCTATTCAATTCAATGCAGTCTATTATAAAGCAACCACTGACCAAACTTGATTATCTCAATAATGAAAGAGACAACTGCTATAGATTCAGCTCAACAAACATTATTGAGCATCAGAGCACCCTATTAGGTCCCTCTGTTTTGAGTCCAAAACAGAGTCTTGTTTTGACCTTTTTATTTCCATTTTTTTATTCCATTGTGAACTTGGCTCTAATGCTTATCCTGCAAAAACATACAAAGAATTTTCTTTTATCTACTTCATCATGCATATTTTAATTTAAATAAATGACTTAAACTAAGAATAGGTTAAACTGTACAAGGTATAAGGTGAAATTGAAGATTAACCAAAATTTAATGTAAGATCTAAGTTTTGTTGATAAAATTTATTTCCCAAGTATATCTGTGACAAATCTGCCAGAAAACTGGATATAAGAGAAATAATGACCACAAAAGGAAGTATATAATGGAAGAAAAAAGTTACAGATAAAATCTGATTTGGGCAAAATTATTCATTAGTGAATAATTTATTTGCTTCAGTATTTGATATAAAAAGAATGAATCCCAGTGGAAAAGTAGTATAGGGGAATGAAAAAAAAATAAGGCAATGAAGAAATTGAATTTGGCTAATGGGGTTTATGTTGCAATAATTTTTAACAAAATTTGACCAAATTTGTCAAAATTCTGACTAACAAGGAATTGAAACATCCACTGGTTCAAAATGAGAGTGTCACAGAACTCAGGTTTAGGGGCTATTCATGCAAGGATTCAATATTGAGAGACAAGTGGTGAGTAAAAGGAAAGATCACTTTACTGAGGAGGTCAGCAATCCTGGGGAGAAGGTGGACTCATGTTCCAAAGAACCAACTATCCCCTGCCATCAGGGGCAGGAGTTTTTAAAGGGGAACTTTTGGGGTGTATAGGCAGAGGGGGTTGGTGATGGACAGGGAAGCCTGGCGTGCTGCAGTCCATGGGGTTGCAAAGAGTCGGACACAACTGAGCAACTGAACTGAGGCGGAGGGAGGGGGGCTGTGAGCAGAGAAGAGTCAGTTCTGACGGTTGTCTCGAAATTGATCATGTGGTGGCCTGGTCAGTGTCATCTTGATTGTTTTAAGTGCAGTTAATCTTCAGTTCCAAGATTGGTTTGTTCCCATTTCCTCGAGTCCATTTGTCAAAATTGTGGCAGCTTATGTCATGGCTATAGTCTGTTTCATCATGTAGTTTTAACTTCTTCCACCTGGTGGAGGTTTCAGCATTTACAAAACAGGTCAAAGGATATGGCTGAAAATATTCTCTATAGCTCTTGAGGAAGAACTAAAGATCCTTGACTTTGTTTAATGACTACATTTTATTTGGTCTTGTTTCATTGCTTTCCTTTGTTTCCATATTTCTAAATTCTCTGATTAAATTTATTTTCTGACTAAAGTTTTTCTATAGACGAGGCAGGAGTTGGGGGTAATGGGGGAGTGGAGTCTCTCCTGGGAAGTCCCCATGGGGTCCTGCTCCATTTCAAGGGTATCATGATGCCAGAATTAAGCATTTATCAAAGGAGCTGCCTGCTTCTCAGCCTTCTTCAGTGACAGAGCAGTTGAGATGTCCTGAAGTGTGTTCATCTGTCCTCAGTGTCTCATGATGGCGCACACGAACTTGTAGAAGTTGACACTAGCTATATCAGCTAAACTAAAAATCATAAATTCTTAAAACGGGCATATTGCCATTTGATTTAGTGGAGAAAAGTTGGCAAACTCATTCATGCATTCAGCAGATACTTCTTGAGCACCCATTTACCTACAAAAGTAGACATGGATTTTTGCCTTTGGGGAACTACTGAGTAATCTAATTATCAAATAATCATGCATATATAATATGACAAATTATATGTCCTACTAGAAAGTAAAGATAACAAGAGTAAACCCTTCCCATAGGAAGTGGTGCCTGAGTTGTTAGAATTCCTGCTTTAATTTAACAGTGTTGATTTTTTGAGTGTGATATGAGGGTACATCTGATTTTAAAGAACTTTAGTTATTTGAGATACAAGGAAATGCTTAAAAGGGTTTAATGATGCTGTGGTGCATTTCAGTGTGAACAATATTCTCCTTCCCTATCAAGCAGCAGTATGCCATGCAGTTACCTTCACTGACTTTGGACCCAGAGGGGCTGGGTTTAAATCCTTGTTCTGACACCTCGCTAGTGCCTCAGTTTTCCCAAGAGTGGATAGTAATAATACCTGCTTGTGGGGTTATCTTTCTCTGGTCTTCTAGGAGGTATCTATCATTCATCAGGTAGCCGTTCTGGACTCGAACCTTGTTGCCTTGCCTTCCCTGTCATGCTGTCCAAAGGCTGGGGCTGGAAGCTTCTCCCGTGACTCGCTAGGGCCTTCATTAGCACGCTTCCTTTTTACTCCACTCCTGCAGTTGCTTTCCTCTTTCTCCACTGCTGGAAAGCCTTTTGCCCTGCCCTCAGGTCTTAGGCAGCGCCAAGCCTCCCAGGAGCTCCAGGATTGTATTTCACAAAGGAAAAGGCTGGAGGCTTAGGTGTGGGGCCAAGAGCTACAAAGGGCGCAGCCTTGCAGACCGGAGCCTGTTCCTCTGCTTTGGCCTCCAGATGCTCTGTTCCCCACCCCAGCCCTAGGACCCCACAACACTGCCTGCCCTCGGCCCACCATGGCTTCCTCACACCCTTCCCTCTCCTTGTTATTGACAACCTTCCCCAAGTTTTGGAACCCCAAACCCCTGAGCCCCTGCACTCCCCCACCCCTCGCCTCTGGTGCGAGCTGAAGCTGGAATACCAGACCACACCTGACCTGCCTCCTGAGAAATCTGTATGCAGGTCAGGAAACAACAGTTAGAACTGGACATGGAACAACAGACTGGTTCCAAATCGGGAAAGAAGTACGTCAAGGCTGTATATTGTCACCCTGCTTGTTTAACTTATATGCAGAGTACATCATGAGAAATGCCGGGCTGGAAGAAGCACAAGCTAGAATCAAGATTGCCAGGAGAAATATCAGTAACCTCAAATATGAAGATGACACCACCCTTATGGCAGAAAGTGAAGAAGTAAAGAGCCTCTTGGTGAAAGTGAAAGAGGAGTGTAAAAAAGTTGGCTTAAAGCTCAACATTCAGAAAACTAAGGCCATGGCATCTGGTCCCATCATTTCATGGCAGAGAGATGGGGAAACAGTGGAAACAGTGACAGACTTTATTTTTGGGGGCTCCACAGTCACTACAGATGGTGACTGCAGCCATGAAATTAAAAGACGCTTACTCCTTGGAAGGAAAGTTATGACCAACCTAGACAGTATATTAAAAAGCAGAAACATTAGTTTGTCAACAATGATCCGTCTAGTCAATGCTCTGGTTTTTCTATTATGGATGTGATAGTTGGACTATGAAGAAAGCTGAGCATTGAAGAATTGATACCTTTGAACTGTGGTGTTGGAGGAGACTCTTGAGAGTCGCTTGGACTGCAAAGAGATCAAACCAGTCCATCCTAAAGGAAATCAGTCCTGAATATTCTTTGGAAGGACTGATGTTGGAGCTGAAACTCCAATACTTTGGCCACCTGATGCGAAGAGCTGACTCACTGGAAAAGGCCCTGATGCTGGGAAAGATTGAAGGTGGGAGGAGAAGGGGACGACAGAGGATGAGATGATTGGATGGCATCACCAACTCAATAGACAGGAGTTTGAGTAAACTCTGAGAGTTGGTGATAGGGACGCCTGGCGTGCTGCAGTCCATGGGGTTGCAAAGAGTTGGACATGACTGAGCGACTGAACTGAACTACTATGTAAATGCTGGCACTAGTAGAAGGTATTGCCTAGGATATATCTGAGCTCATAATAGTACATTTAGTAGCAAAAGGAAAATTGAGATTTTTATCTCTAGTACAAATACTAGTACCTTTTCCTTAGTCAAGTGTATCTTTATCTGAAGTAGGAAGCAAAGTATAAATCTAGAAGCATGAAGACAAGTAAGCAAAGAGAGTTAGGTTACTGGTAGGAGTTATAAGGGCTATTTTGAACAGGAACTGGAACTTCTCATGAGAGAGTAGCTTCTAGGCTTAGGACTTCCATAGAGGCCAGGCCGTCCCAGAGTGTTTGAATAGTCTTGGGTGGGAACCATTGCCTGAGAGAAGGTGAATGTGTTTTCCTAGACTGTTTGCTTACTCTGTTTGCATATGCTGTTTATTTTTACTGTTGCATAAATACATCATAGAGTTTGACAAGACTGAGCGACTAAGCACACACACAAACACATCAACAGCTGGTTTGAATCCTAAGCTATGTGGGCTTCCCTTGTGGCTCAGCTGGTAAAGAATCCGCCTGCAATGCAGGAGACCTGGGTTCGATCCCTGGGTTGGGAAGATGCCCTGGAGAAGGGAAAGGCTACCCATTCCTGTGTTCTGGCCTGGAGAATTCCATGGACTGTATAGTCCATGGGGTCACAAAGAGTCAGACACAACTGAGTGACTTTCACTTTCAGGCATAGCAGAGTTGGAAAAAGTAGTACCATTTTCTCTTTGTCTCTGTCTCTCTTGAATCTGGCACACAGAGCTTCAGATTCACATTTACTTTATATTTTTAGAAAAAGTATAAAGATGAGGCAGAGAAGATGCTTTCTAGCTATTCTACTGTGGCGGATACTCCTGAAATTCAGAGAATTAAGACAATTCAACAAAACGTTAGTGCGGTGAGTAGCCATTGTCTCTTTCCAGTTGTCAGCTTGAAATGATGTTTTGAAAGGGGGCCTTTGTTCCTCAGTCTGATTGTTTTGCTGCCTTGCTTGAATTTTCAGTCAAATGCATATCTTTCCTTCTTTAAAATCATAAGAATACCAAATGTTCTTACAACTTATAATTGATCATGATTATTTTAGAATTACAGATTCAAATTTCCTTTTTAGGTACAAGCAACAGCTACTTTTAACTGAATTTTAAAATATCATTCAGGAAAGAGATCTTACACACATATTTTACTTTGAAGATAAAAATAGTCATATGAAGTGATTACCTTCCTGGTCATTGATTAATTGCATTGATAATCTATCTAGGGATTTACTAGGTTATAACCAATTCCTAAGGGCTTCCCTGGTGGCTCAGTGATAAAGAACCAGCCTGTCAATTCAGGAGATGTGGGTTCAATCCATGGGTCAGGAAAATCCCCTGGAGAAGGAAATGGCAGCCCACTCCAGTACTCTTGCCTGGAAAATCCCATGGACAGTGGAGCCTGGTAGGCTGCGGTCCATGGAGTCGCTAAGAGTCGGACATGACTGAGCGACTTCACTTTTACTTTCACTTTCATGCATTGGAGAAGGAAATGGCAACCCACTCCAGTGTTCTTGCCTGGAGAATCCCAGGGATGGGGGAGCCTGGTGGGCTGCCGTCTATGGGGTCGCACAGAGTCGGACATGACTGAAGTGACTTAGCAGCAGTAGCGGCTAAACAACAACAATCAATTCCTAAACTTTCATATTTTTGTTCTGAGGAATAGGAATTTTATCAGCACCATTGATTAAGATAGTGGGCTTATATGTAATAACCCATGTAATAAGTGGGTTATATGAACTTGAATTCTAAAACAAAAATTGATGGTACAGCCAATATTTTAATATAGAATTAACTTAGTGGTTAAGCAAATGTTATCAAAAATATAAATTCTATTATTTCTGAAAATTTCTGGAATATTTTCTACTTTCTAATAAATTGAAAAACTCTTAACTCTGCAAGTATGCTGTTCAGGGTACCTCTAGGGTCTTCACAGGCAGGCCTGTGCCAAGAGATGTAGAAATCTTGCTGGAAGAGAGGATGAGGGAGAAGAGTTGTGTGGCCCTTGCCACCTGTGATTCCAGATTTCTAGCTTTTGCAGGGGAACATCTCATATGTCCTGCTCTCCTGACCCTCACTGGGACCTACTGGTTTACAAATATCAGGAGAGTGAACCCAAAGTCAGTGCTCTGTGACAACCTAGAGGGATAGTGTAGGGAGGGAAGTAGGAGGGGGGCTTCAAGAGGGAGGGGTCATATGTATACCTCTGGCCAACTCATGTTGCTGTGTGGCAGAAACCATCACAATACTATAAAGAAATTATCCTCCAATTTAAAAATTAATTAAAAAAGAGAGGGAGTAGTTCTGGCCTCAGATGACTTCCTTATAATTAGTCTGTTTTTCTGTAGGACACTTTGTTTTTTCTTTTCCTTTGTGGTTGAAAGGGGTGGGTGTTGGTAGGGATGGAGAGATGTGGGAAGGTTTAAGGAATAAGTGGAAGATAAGGAAAACAGGCTGACGTAGTGTCGATGCTGATGGTAAAGCTAATATTTTCTTTGAGGAGAACAAGACTGTCTTTGCTCTGACATGAAGAAGAGCAGTTGCTTGAAACTTCATGCTATTTTTGAATTAAACGGTAACTGCTTAGTAAGGATATTTATAATATCCTTTAATTTTTCTCAGCTGCACATGTGACATATGTTTGTATTTGAAGAAGAAAATTTCTATTCTTAGCGCAAGTAATCTGCAGCCATGTAAGGTACCAGGCATACCCTAGAACAGGTAGTAGAGGTTTACTTGGAAGACTGTGGAATACAAAACCAAAGTTCTGCATTTATTTCCATGATGGATTATTTAATTGATTAATATAACATTGGTTCTCATAAATAGAAGCTGTATTCATGTTACTTTAAAACCTGAGAAATTTTCCTTTATAAGAATCAAATCTAGGACTTGAATTCTAATAAGCTTAGTTATTCTTTTCCTTTTCTTATAATAAAGGTATTTTATAAGAAAGAAGTAGGAGCTGGCACAGCAGTAAAAGATACTCCTGAGATTGAACGAGTGAAGAAAAATCAGCAGAACATTAGTTCAGTAAGTTCTCTATGGCATTAATTATCCTTTCCAAAAGCAAACACAAGCTAGATAAATGTTTTTAGTTCTTTACAAAACTAGCTGCCTTTTTCTTTTTTTCTTCGCTTTGTTGAAACACTGTTTCATCAAATATCAAAGACCTAACTTTCAGAAGGAAACTGTAGCCTTGTTCCCCTTGAACCTAAAGCAGTATTTCATCTTGATATATATATATCATAGTGCATAAGAGATAGATCACTTTAATAGTACAGTAATGAAATCTAGGATTAGTTTTCATCCTTTTGAACAGAATTTTAGCTATATTACATTTTTCAGAGAAAGGATACTTTTCAATACCTCCTCACAACTTGGAGGAAAGAAATTTTATCCTGATAGAATGATTAAAGGCACTAGAACATTTATTTGGTGGCTCAAGAGAAGGTTTCAAAGGCCCCATTTACCTTCTACTTCTTTGAGCTTCCAGCATAGAAAAGCACACACCTTCATTATAATTTGTAAAATAAATTTACCACCCCCCTCCCCAGTGCCCTTTGAACTTGGGGGAAGGGTAGAGGAGGTGTTAAATGTTATGGATTAAAAACTTCTTCACTCAGTGCTTGACATTTACAATGGATCATTGCTACCCTTACCAATAGGTGTATTTGGTAATAGTTGTTATACAGTCATCCCTTGGTGTCCACAGGGAGTGGTTGAAGGACCCCCCCGTCCCCAACACACACACATAGTCATTTACACATACTCACACCAACATCAGCAGATGCCCACGTCCCTCACTGTTGGGCCTCCACATCCTTAGGTTCCACATTGAGGATGTGGGGAGCTTGCTATTTAGTTTCTTGCTGAGGGTTCTTTCCTTACATCTCCTTCCCTGACCTTTCTCTTGACCTTCACCCTTGGAGGCAGAGTTTCTTTAAGTCATCCAAGTCTAACTGCCTTGATTAAATGCCTTTGTTAGGAACTCCGATGGTTATCCTAGAATATGTGTGCACTGGCATTTGTGGAGACAGAGTAGGAAAGGTAAGGTCATGCTGTAGTAAACAGACTTACAGAAAATGAACTTACAGAAAACTGTAGAATGCACGTGCACTAGAATCTCTGTACAATGAAGGAATCTGATTTCCTGCAGAAAGCACAAAGCACAAGGAAGAGGAGCTGAAGGCGAGAGTGCTAACCCGCCGCGGTAGGAGTCTGTGTCAGGCTACGCTGAGTCTGGTAGAGAAGTTAGTTCAGCTGAGAAATGTAAAGTGGTTGTTTCCTTCACTTCCAAATGATAACATTTGAAATGTACCCATCAATGTACTGGGGTATAATGTTATAAATGTTCTATACTGCACAATTCTATTGCCTACAGCGAAATGACTGTGCCATTTTGATTAGTTTGGTGTTGTATGAAAAACAAAAATGTTCATCTTTAATCGTGTTTAGCATCTCACCCTAGGAAAATCACACAGTCTATCATTTCTTCTCCCGGCATCCCCCTGCCTCTTCTAGCAAACAATAAACGCATAGTTCTGTATCTCTATGAGCCTGGGCCATAAACTCCTGCTTAGTATTCAAATGGAAAGTTGCCCTTTCAAGATTAGCAGGATCTGTCAAACCAAGATAGGATTCTCTAACATTTAAAGATCTCGACATTTTCCACCTCCAGAGGATGAGCCTTTTGAGTATTAGCTTTCTCTCTTAAGAACTATTTTGGAATCTTACTCGGAGATAGTCTGTCTCAGTGTACTCTTGATTTAACTGTTTTGGATCTGGCCTAATATTGGCGGTGTTACTCATATCACAAGTGAAATGTACAGATGCTAAAACATAGATGATAGCAAAGATATTTAGGTATTGTTTCTTCATGACTCTCAGGATGAATTTAAGCCTTAATCATTTTAAACATTACCAAGTGATTTCTAAAATGTATTTTGCATAGATCTAAGTCTTTGCTAAATTTCAACATATGCCACTGAAGTCTAGCTGATGTGTCCATATTTATTATACATATGTGTGTGTCCTTTATCTCAATTCCAATCTTCCATGCATTTTAGACATATTAAAATACTATGTCATATGATAACATCACTAATCATTGTATAAGTTTAAAGGGCTTGTCCTGGGCATAACTGTGTGCTGGTTTTATCATTTATCTGGTTGATCTTCCTCTAAGTAGACTTGACAGAGGAGCTTTTGACTGTTGTGAATGCCAGGATATATGCGGGCTTTACATAACATGATTGTGTGGAAGAAGACACTTCCTGACTTTCTGCTACTGGCCCTTCTGCAGTGATCAGCACTCAATGGCCTCTGCTTGTAGTATATTTTCTTCCACCTTCCTCTTTCTCTTCTTTTATTTTTTTTTCTTATTCTAGATTATTTGTGTACTCTTAGTCAGATAAGCAGTGTTTCCAAGACTTAGTACTAACTCAGTTTGACTCTTACCTTTAAAGACATGGTGAGTACACAAATAATAAATAGAAACTGCTTTTATTATAGAAAAATAATGAATTATTATATTAAGATAATTTCTAGAATTTTTGGTGCATCTGCCTGATGATAAAATTTATTTTTATAAGCAGTATATGCTTATTTTAGTTAAAAATAACCTCTCCAGTGATGGATAGGTGAATAGATATGGGTTTGTTTGTACTTTAAGATAAAGGAATCCTGAAAGCCCCGGATGAAATAAAAATGTGTGTTCTCATTGAAGGAAAATTAATGTTGGAATTAAAAAATAGGCTATGTAATAGATAAAAATGAAGAATTCTTAACTATTTTTTAAAACTTATGTTGAATAAGACTCACATTTTTTAAAAAATAAATCATGCAGGTAAAATACAAAGAAGAGGTGAAACATGCAACAGCCATTTCAGATCCACCAGAACTCAAGAGAGTTAAAGAAAACCAGAAGAACATCAGCAATGTGTGATCACATTTCTTTAAGTATTGTTTTCTGTGGGCATGACACTTGCACAGTAGAATGAATTAGAATGAATACCATTGTAGGAAGGCCAATTCCTGAAAGGTGGAGATAATTTCACACATCTTTGTGTTGGGCTAGCATTGCACCAAGCATGTGTGTTTGCTTACTATAGAATGTGGTGTTGAATGCCTACTCTGTTCTTGTTCTTGGGGGCATTCAAAGATGAGTGAGATACACCTTAAGGTTAGAGGCTGTGTGTATTCTCAAGGTCTCTAGGAGAAACAGTTGTGGGGATAAATAAAGACTGTGCATTAAGTGCTCTAAAATAATTAATATTTGTTGAGTGCTTACTACATTTTGGGGGTTCTTTACATGCAATATCTCATTTAATGTTAAATAATAACTCTGTTTTCAAAGTGCTGGGGAAATGCAGAGAAGGAAGGCTATGTCAGTGAGAGAGAGGAAAACTTTTGGTGAAAGAGTAACAGTTGAGCTAGATCTTGAAGAATTAATAAAAGTTTAGGATGGGTTTCATGAGGAAGGGCCCTCCTGGCAGTGCATCCTAAATATGTTCATGATCTGAGATCTTTTCAAAGAGGGGAAAGTTCCGTGTGATGAATCCTTGGGCTGGAAGACAGTAGGAGAAAGATGGTGGAGAGAGAAAGCATGATTCAGGCCCCGAGGAGGCTGCCAGCAGTGCCAGTGTCCCTGGTTCAGATGGCCTGCTGATGCTCAGGCCTTGACTTATGAGTTAAATTGCTTTAATGTGTTCCTTTTTTTAAAAAGTTATTGTTTATAGGAGTAAAGTTGATTTACAATGTTGTGTTACTTTCTGCTATACAACAAAGTATATCAGTTATACATATATCCACTCTTCTTCAGATTCTTTGCCCTTAGGTCCTTACAGAGAATTGAGTAGAGTTCCCAGTGCTATACAGTAGGTGCCTATTAGTTATCTATTTTATATATCGTAGTGTGTCTATATATTTTATATATAGTAGTATGTATATGCCAATCGCAAGCTCTCAATTTATCCCTCCCCCCACCTTTGGGGCAGGGATGACCATAAGTTTGTTTCCTACATCTGTGATTCTGTTTCCCTTTTGTAAATAGGTTCATTGGTGCCATTTTTTAGATTCCACTTATAAGTGATATCATGTGATATTTGTTTTCCTCCATTTTGCTTCACTCAGCGTGACCTAGAGATTGCCGTAACATGTCCCTTTTTGTAAAAGGAGGGTTACACAGGAAGCCCAGCTCAGTGACGAGCTAGACATGTGGGGTGAGGGTTGGGAGGGAGGCTCGGGAGGGAGGCTCGGTTACATGTAGATGGTGCATACTGTTGCAGAGCTGAAACCAGCACAGCCTGTAAGCAATTATCCTCCAAAAATAAAATAAAGAGTTTACTAGTTTTCAATTTATTATGGAAACATAACACCCCCTTAAAATAACTATTTGAAAATAATGAGTTAATTTAATAAAAAAATACTAGAAGTCACAGCTCAAGTGATACCTTGCATGGCATATGGTAAGTGGTGTATACATGATTGAAGTTTGAATAACTCTGGAGTGGAGAACAATGTGGGCTATGGACTGTTGGTTTGATCCTAGCTCCAGACCCTACTTGCTGTATATCCTTCATAAGCCACCAACCTCTCCAAGCCTCATTCTCCTCATCTTTAAAACAGGGACTAGAACATTAAGTGAGATATTGCCTGTAAAGCACGCAGCATGTTTGTGAGTGAATGAATGCAATACATGAAGTGCTTCCATATCAAATTTATGTCTCCAAACTTACATCCACTAGAAATTGGCTGCAACAATTTCTCTACAATTTCATCTACAGTGATGCTGTTCAACAAATGTTTCTCCTCTGAACGCTACCCAGAGTCATCTTTCTTTGTATCCTGCCATCAACAAAGATTACTTTGGGCCTTTCCTCGCTTTAGGCAATTATCCGACACAGGATCTGCCTAAACTCCCAGACTGCATACCATGATACAGAGAAAGAAGTCGCACTGGCAAGAGCCTGACCCTTTGTCATTTATTTTCCAGGCTTATCAGATAACTGTTCACTTGCACATGCACTGCTGAGGGCGTACATCTCAAGTCCATTTTATCTGCAGGCCTTGTGATGTCTTGCAAAAAAAGAAAAAATTCCCTCACACTAAGTTTAAGCTCCAAAAAGTCATTATGACTGTCCTTGTGAAGTTCTTCATAATGCAGTTTTAACCTCTAGTTTTCCTTTTACCTATCAGAAATTCATTTGGTGGATATGCTATCTCCCTGTGTTGGATCCTCATTTTATTTCCTGGAATGTTGTGGAATTACTGGGAAAGCTGACCACACATGTTGGACTCTGATGCCCTATTCTGGCAGTAGGTCAGAAGTATCTCCATGATGGGACTTCCCTGGTGGTCCAGTGGCTAAGGCTCCACTTTCCCACTGCAAGGAGCCAGGGTTCCATCTCTGGTCAGAAAACTAAATTCATACTTGATGAAACTAAAGATTCCATTTGCAACAACTAAGACCTGGTGCAGTCAAATAAATAAATAAATATTTTTTTTTAAAAAGAAATATCTCCATGATGCTGATCAGAGCATGGTCTTCCAATGTTGGAACTTGGTGGAGAAGGAGGTTCGGGTTTCTTTTTATAGTGACAACCAATCACTGAGGTGAAGGCATGGGACTGGCATGACCCTTCTAACCCTTCTTTCTAGTGGTGAATCCAGAATTTTTATTTTCAAGTGTAAATATAAAATGGTCATTTGGTAACGTCATTTTAGTACTGTGAAGACACAAACTCACAGAAGTGGTCATTTATCATTACTGATAGGATCAAACTCAGAGACGCCACCAAAAAATAATACAGTTTGAAGACTAACAACCCCGGGCATGATTCAAAACATTTGGGCAAGGAAAAGCTTAGTCCCTGGATCACTGTGATGATGACATCTATTAGCAGAGCATCTTTCACTGTACAGTCCTAGCGAAGATGTCAGCTAATGAGCGCTGTGTGACGTTTCTTTTCACCAGTTGCTGTGTGTTAGCTCACTCTTCCTTCCGGTACCCCCACACCATCTTGCATTTGTCTCCCAGCTCAGGTACAGAGAGCCGTGTGACAGAGCAACTCCGGTGAGCATGACGCCCGAGATAGAGAGGGTGAGGCGAAACCAGGCGCAGCTGAGCTCGGCAAGTTGTTTCTGTTTTGCTCTTAACATTTTACCAAACATTAGCTATTTTTATTCTTTACAACGCTTTCTGAAAAGCATTAGACACTCTACATCTTGGTCACTCCTTTTCTACTATTCCATACTGAGGGCTGTGGACTGTGGCACCCTTGTGGGAGTCCGGGAAGTTGGGAACTGCTTTGCTCTTATTCAGCCATGCTTAATTATTCAAGAAATCTTTTTTAAAATATTTTTTTAAAATGTGGACCGTTTTTCAAAGTCTTAATTGAATTTGTTACAATTTTGGTTCTGTTTTATGTTCTGGTTGCTTGGCTATGAGGCATATGGGATCCTAGCTCCCTGACTAGGGATCGAACCTGTACCCCTTGCATGGGAAGGCAGAGTTCCAGCCATTCAACTACTAGGGAAGTCCCTATTGAAGAACTCTTCGTTAAGTGACGTGGCAGGCATTATCCTGGTCACTGGTACACAGAGGTGGATAAGACCCCTTCTTATCTTCATGGGCCTCATAGTTTAGATGGTAAATCTCTAAAACTACATCCAAATCTAAAGACCAGGAGAGCAGCATAGTGGGTATGTTGTCAGTCTGAGAAAAGAGGAAGTTGTCTCTTGGCATAAGGCAAAAGAAGACCTGACTTGACTGGGTTCTGAGACATAGTGCCATGGCAGGGAACCTTATAAATAAAACAGGAAACATCAATCATTCAGTGATCTGTTGCTAGTAAAGCAAGGGTAGTTAATAATCATGAGGTCCCTCTGCTGTGGACCCTGTGCTAAATGTGTCATGTGATTCAGTGGGGTATGCATGATTTATTGCTCTGGTTTGTAGGTGTGGGAAACTGAGTCTTTAGAAGTCAGGGGACATGCTAACCCATGGTTTGTGACAGCAGGGCTGGGATTTGAACCCAGGCCTCCCTGAATTCAGAAATCTCTTTCAAACATGTCCCCTAATAGTTATTTTTCCCATTTTTTTGCTCGTTTTATGGAACTTTTACCGTTATAAACAATAACCTTCTTCTGAAATAGATAATTTTGAGACACTAAAAAATTTAAGAGTGAGTTCTCCCAGATGAAGGATAAAATCAGGCTGAATGCTGCTTTCTCCTTACAGTATCCCCGATGGTGGTATGAGTGAGGGGTCTTCAGCTTCTTGTGAAGGTGGAGGCTCCAGGGTCAGAATAGGAGTTAACGGGCTTCCCAGGCTGCTGTGGCTACTTCACTATAGTTCTCTTGTAATGATTTTTTTTTCTTTTAGTTTTAACTTTTTTCCCCTATTTTTTGTCCATGCATAGCATGCAGGATCTCAGTTCCCTGACTAGGGATCTAACATGTGGCCACCACTAGTGGACGTTAAGACACCATGGTGTCTTGACTACTGAACCGGCAAGGAAATCCCTTGTAATGATTTCATTACAGTGTCTTCCCCTTGTATTTCGATTACATTTAGTCGTGAACTTTGCAGTTAGTTTTGGTATTGAAGAGAGAAATATTTATTAAAAATCATTTTTAAGAAGCACAACCAGCACTCGGTGCTTGCCAAGTCAGAAGAATCAGAAGCCAGATGTAGATTTGAACTGAAAGGTTGGCATACATCTACTGTGGGGAAAAGTATGTAAAAAAAATAGGGTTAATTTTGAGGCTTATCCTCTGTTGGTATTTGGTTGGAGACCATTCTGCTGTTTATTAAAATTCATATTAATCCTCCACAGGTAAAATACAGAGGAGAGATTAAACAGGCGACTGCAATTTCTGATCCACCAGAGCTGAAGAGAGTGAAAGAAAACCAGAAGAACCTCAGCAATGTGTGATCTTAGTAACTTTTTTCTTATGAAAGCAAGCATTTTGTCAACATGTCAATGAAGGGATCGTGTCTTCCAAGTTTTCATGACCTTGAGTTGATTGCCTCTGCTCTCAATTGACTGTCAGTTTATTGGAAAGTTTTCAGGGTGTTAGGTATTGTGGGTCCAGTCAGGCGTGCCCTGCTCACAGTGCCCAGTGACTGCAGTGTGATTTTTGTCTGTAGGTTATTGTGTATCCCTCTTATCTGTTCTTCATGCTTGCAGTTTCTGTGGTTCTCCAAAGGGATGCCATGGCAATTTCTGGCATCTTGGCTCTACAAATAAACTTTCCCACTCCCTTTCCTCCATATGTATTAATAAATGTATTCTTATTCTGTAGCCTCTCCAGCCCCATTTCCCACTCACAGCTATCATCACTTTATTTTTGGATGATGCTGGGAAAAAATTATGAAGTGTGCCTTGCTGAATAGGTCACACAAAACAGGTCCATTTTCAGGGCACTTGTTCAGGGCTGTCAAGTTTTACTCAGACACCAATTCTTGGCCCGTTCTAACTCCTTTCCGTTATGATATCCATGGATGCAGTTTGCTGAGAGAGTCCTTTTTTATTTTTAAATTTTTAAAAAAATTTACTTTTATTTTTTGGTTGCATTATGCAGCATGTGGGATCTTAGTTCACCAAACAGGGATCAAACTCATGCCCCCTGCATTGGAAGCATGGAGTCTTAAGCACTGGACCACCAGGGAAGTCCCTGAGAGAATAATTGTTTAGAAATCATTAATAATAAATTGTGTTCTTTGGGAGAGGAAATTTGAAAATCTTTTAAATGCAAAGAAATCTTTTATTCTTTAAACCTTTAAAGTCCTTTGGCCAGATTATAAAGGAAAGGCAGTTTATTGTTTGGCATTCTCCCTGACAACTGTATTTTGGAGAAGTAGATACTCACCTTCTCCTGATGTATTCGGAGTACAGTTGATGTAACTCCATTACTCTCTAAAGAGAACATGGTTCTGGAGAAGGAGGGCTGGAGCACTGGAGAGCGTGCTGGCCTTATGGATCACCATGGTTACCACTTAGGCATCATGGCCAAAGTTCTGCCACAGTTAATTAGTAAGAAACCATAATGGTCCAACAGCCTTCTATGTGGGTAAGAGTACCTTAAAGTAACATTCTTGAAGATATTTCTTACCTTACTCCTTTGTGATGAAATGCTTACTACAGCTTTACTGATGGTACACGCATGTAATGAGTACCTTCACAGTGATTCTCTGCCATTGCATGAATTAAAATAGAATGATTTAAGATGCAAGCATTTAAAATATGTCTAGACCTCTGATGGCTCATTGGTAAAGAATCTGCCTCCCAATGCAAGAAACACCGTTTGAATCTGTGGTCTGGGAAGTTTCCCTTGAGAAGGAAATGGCACCCCACTCCAGTGTTCTTGCCTGGAAAACAAGACATGGACAGAGAAACCTGGCGAGCTACAGTCGATGGGGTTGCAGAGTGTCGGTCATGACTTAGTGACTAAACAACAAAGACCTCTGCTAGCTTCCTTTTTTATTCTTCCCCCCACCCCACCACAGCTTCCTATCCTTGCTTAGCTCTTTAAAATAAGTACTATGAGACTCTTGTTTAGTTGAATTGATTCACAGTGCTGTTTTTTGTTTTCCAAAATGATAGGTTTATTATAAATCTCAGATGGGAAGAGCTACAGCTTTAAGTGTAACTCCTGAAATGGAAAGAGTAAAGAAGAATCAAGAAAATATTAGTTCGGCAAGTTGTTTTATTCACTTGGGGCTATCACGAAGGATATGTCCTTTATTATTTATTTGCAGACCAAGAAGCTTTTGTAAGATATGCAGAAAGTACATGTGTTATTTCAGATGACATCTGAAAGCCTCCACTGTCTAACTTTATATTGTCCTGAACCCTACTGATGTTTCCAGATGTGACCAGCACTTATATTTAAAGTTTCGTTTTAAACTGAATTATGTTCATTTAAACAATGAATCATGTTATTTTAGCCAGTGTCTTTGAAAGTGGTAGTCTTTGATGTATAAGTTAAACAATTATCATTTTACAGATGTATTCCATTGAATGTTGATTGTTAAGTCCTCTCTGCAAAACAAAATAAGAAATGAATCATTACTCCAAAGTAAGGACTTAGAGGAAAAAACAATCTTTAAATATACTTAACACAGAAATCACTTACTCATTGAAGTTCTGTGTTGCATGTCAGTGTCTTATTTGGGGAGTGCACCTCCTCTCAGGAAATACCAGGGCTTCCGTTCTGAGTGCACATATGCCCTCATAATCCGTATCCTGATCTTATACAGAAGCAGCTTCACAAAAAACGGTGTTCTGATAGTCAGATGTCAGAAAGAGCTTTATGCCGGGGAATCAGCATTTAGATTTTAAACTGTGCAGCTCTCTAGTGGCATTTCTGCCCAGAGATGCTGACTGTATTCAACGTACATTACCTTTAGGCTGTGGCTGTTTAGAGGGAACCTAAGATGAATACTTAATGATTCTTACCATGTGCTCTGATCAAATAAAAGGAAATATTGATAGAGGTATGTTTGTTATGCATGCTTCCACAGTGTTATGGTGGAAAATGGGGAAATAGAGAAACAGAAAAAGAAATTTAGGTTCCATTTAGTTTTGGATTTTCCCTATTGATAAAGTATTTCCCACTTTTACAGACTCATGGTTAGTAGATGTTGGTCATTTACACATTTGTATTCAGTCGGTAGAGAGATTTAGGTCATCTTTGCCATAGCCTTTAAAGGAGACCATCAAGAGTAAAATTTTAGCTCATTATTCTAGAAGGAAATGTAATTCACTAAATAAGTTACCTGGGAAGTAATTCAGAATATGTTGTATATGCCTCACTCATTTGGAAACCTTGAAAAACTTATGTAATTTTTACATTATAGTTGTCTTTTTGTTAAGTATGATCTATTATTTACTTTGCAGGTAAAATATACCCAGGACCAGAAACAGATGAAAGGTAGACCAAGTCTGATTTTAGATACACCTGGTCTCAGACATGTCAAAGAAGCTCAAAATCATATTTCAATGGTAGGGTCCAACAGGTCCTCCATCCGTGACTAAACCGTACTAAGGAGTGGCTGCACCCAGTGCTCTGATGGCGTTGTTCACCATTAATCTGGATAACTAACAAAGCGTGGGAAGGCCTATGGGCCCACCCTTTGGGGGGTGCTTTCTAATCTCACTGAAATGTACGGGAAATATTTAGTCTAATAAAACAATTTTTCTCAGTGACTTTTTGGGATGTGTTTTTATTTCTAACGTGACCACTACTATAAATGCAATTTATGGAAGATACTTGCTTGGACTTTTTTTCGATTAATGTTAAGATGGAGTTTGGTGTGTTTACATGCTTAAAGAATATAAAAATATGTCTTTTTAAAAAAAATAGTCTCATGAGATATATTTTATATACCATTTAAAGTATACAAAGTGGTTTCTAGTATAATTTACAGAGTTAAACAACCATCACCCTAACCTAATTTCAGAATGCAAAAAACACGTGTTTTGAAGTATATATTTTTGTAACTATATATAAAAATTATATATATAGGTATTTGTAACTTGCTCTCTTAATCTAATTTTAAATAATATTGCTTTCTTAAGTAATTGTATAGCAATAGCTTATCATTTTGTTGCATACTAAAGTTTAAGAGATAGGAAATTCTACCTAAGTGAGTACATTTTAGAAAGTAACTAGTATTTAAAAAATAAATCTTTCAACACTTTTTACTTATATACAAGCTTATATATTAAAAGAGCTGCTACCTGTAATGATGGAAAGCATTGTAAAAATGTTAGCATTTGATTTCTGATGCTAGGAAACTGAAATTTCATAGATTATTTTTGGAATAACTGGAAAAAATACATTTATGTAGAAAATAATCTAGATTCAGCTGGTATAGTAATTGTCTTTATATTCAAATTTTGTGAGCTGTGTAGCATTCAGGAAATTTCAGTTTGAGTTACTATGGTTTTTCCCTCTTTCAGGTGAAATATCATGAAGATTTTGAAAAGACAAAGGGAAGGGGCTTTACTCCTGTTGTGGATGACCCTGTGACAGAGCGAGTGAGAAGGAACACCCAGGTTGTCAGCGATGCCGCCTATAAAGGTGTCCATCCTCACATCGTGGAGATGGACAGGAGACCTGGAATCATTGTTGGTAAGCTGACTGGCCTGCTGGGCAGGTTTGCACAGTCAAAAAGATTGTGCTTTCCCTGTTTTTATTAATGGAATTCGCTTCCTTATTCATCGGACCCCTCCTCAAATGCATGGCGTGGTGCCCAGGTGAGAGTGGACCAAAGGCAAAGCGTTGTTGTTTGTACCATGTTGGAGGGAATTCATGGCCTTTGCCAGGTGTTGCAAGTTCATTCTGTAGCTGGACATTCTCTGGTCTTGAGTGTTCCTCCTTGCTACGCCAAGAAGCAGCCCAAATATCAGACATAGGTGATAATGAAGATTAAGCAATTATTTTGTTTCTCTTTAGCTTATGTTGGCTTCCCTGGTAGCTCAGATGGTAAAGAATCTGCCTGCAATGCAGGAGACCTGAGTTTGATGCCTGGGTTGGGAAGATCCCCTGGAGAAGGGAACAGTTACCCACTCCAGTATTCTTGCCTGGAGAAGTCCAGGGACTGACCTAAGGTTGCAAAGAGTCGGACACAACTGAGCATCTTTCACGTTTAGCTTCTGTACTGATCAATAATTGTACTGCAGACATTGTCTGCCTGGGTAACAGAACAGAAGTAACCCCATATAGGTCCTTTGATGTCAAATAGACATGCCTGAGAGATTCTGATGGTTTCCACAACGTGAGTAGCTTATATTTTTTTGAATATTATTTCTGAACTAGGAGAATAGAGCTGTCTGAAAGTCTCACAAATCAGAGAGAAAGGAGCCTCAACCTGCTGTTCTTTCTTGTCATCTAGGGAAAATCTTAGGAACATAGTGTTGAATGGTGACAGAGTGAGCAAGGTTTGTACTAAAAGCTAAGAAAGGAAAGGAAAGTTACTGATTTTTTCCAATTTGTTCAACATTTGTTTCTGTTGTAGGAAGAGAAGTTTTTTTTTTTTAATTTTTGTTTTGCTTTCTTAGACAAAGACCTTTTAGTTGCCTCTTATGAATTACTCGCATGTCCTTAATCAGGAATTTTAAGCCAACATTTTCCCTGTTTCAGTGTGTGGATAACATGAGTGATGAGGGTTTGGGGATGTGGGAAGTGGTGTGGTGTGCATGTGTGATAAGTCACAGGCTCCCCTGTGGAAGGTCAACAAAGAATAAACCAGGCAACTTATATTTGATCACAAGGTTTTCTTAGCAGATCCTGTGAGTGTGAATCACACTGTGAGTGTGAATATCCCTCTGTTCTCCTCTGAAGTCTGCTGCACAGTGGGTTTGCCTGTGTTACATGCTTGCTTTTTGCATATGTCCCTTTTCAGACTTTTGTTTGACTCTCTTGGGTGCTGACTTTTTTTAAAATTCATTCTTGATTTGTTGATTTCTTCCTTTGGTAAAAGACCTCAAAGTGTGGCGTACAGATCCTGGCTCCATCTTCGACATTGATCCCCTGGAAGACAATATTCAGTCTAGAAGTCTACATATGCTTTCTGGTACTGCTTACGTTTTGAGTTCCTCCCCATTTACATGGTTTTTGACCTCAAAGTGAAGCTGCTGTGAGCTTGTGCAGGTTCATTGTGCCTTCTGGGTAATGTAAAATTTTAAGTTTGGGCTTTGAAAAACCAAGAAAGTTGCTGTATTTAATATGCCACTAATCATTTATGAAAACAAAACTTACAAAAGAGCTTTTTAATATATCCTAGATTAGTTCTAAATTTATTTTAAAGGTGTCTAGAGCTTACTTACACTTCCTTTTTATTAGTGAATATGATTTTAGAAGTTCTCTGGGCTTTGAAATGCAGCTATTTGGACTGCACTAAACTGCTAACATAAAGATTTGTTTTATGAAAAGCACAACATTTAAAAGATACTTGTTTAATTTAAGGAGTTCTTTGAAGACTTTTATATAAAACAGAGGAGAGATTTATATAAAACAGAGGAGAGATTTTCTACATAGCATCGTCAATGTCTTAAAATAGGTTTTCAAGTATCCCTAAAATTTATCTCTGAGTTTTTATAAAATGCAAAATTTGTAGTTTACATAGGAAATTTATTTGACTTTTAACTTCAACTGTATGTTTATAATTAAAAGTAAAACCCAAATGGTTTGGATATTTGGGTATAGCGATAGCAAGGGTTGATCTTTGTAGGCTTTCAGAACGCATTTAGCAAACTGAAGATTTGACAGTTATGTGACTGTTTTAAACATATAAATAGATCTATCATTTAGGTCCTTCTCTGCCCCCCATTGTGACTCCACGTTTAATTGTTAACATTAACGAAATTGAAAGCCCAAGGCAAAGTAGGAATTCTGATATTTTTATAGTAATTTGATCCACATAATCAGCCAAATTGTCACCTAGATTTTCTAAAAATAAAGAAAAGGCAACAAATGCTGTATCATTGGTGATATTTGAAAATTACTATTTATAACCAAACTTTGATAGAAATTTACTAATTTGCCAGTGTTTTCTTAGTTCTTGTCAATTTCCCACCCCTCATCTCTCCTTTAAAATTTAGACCAAACTGAGTGTGAATGACCATTAAGTCATTTGCTTTGTTGATAATATGTGCTGAAGTTTGGGAATAGATGGCTAGAATTTATAATACCTGAGCTTTGGGGTTGTAGTTTAATGAGGGATTATTTTTCTTCCTTGTTAAATTTTTAAGTAATTTTTTTGGTTTCTTTGTTCTTCAAGTCACTTAATCACAAATATGAATATTTTCCCTCCAATATAGAAAAGGCGAATCTTTATAGGAGACAACGGTCTCGGTCTTACTCGAGCAGTACTTTTGGTACAGGTCTGGGAGATGACAAATCAGAAATATCTGAGATTTACCGTAGCTTTTCATGCTGCAGTGAGGTAACAAGACCATCTGATGAAGGAGGTATCAAACGTTAACCACTCTCAGAAGTCTCTTTTAATGTATCACAAGTGTGTCTTTAACAAATTCTTCACTTTTGCACAAACACATGGCATGGATATATTTGAACATTTTAAATTATGTTTAGAAAGTTGAGTCTTTTTTAAAAACAAATAATATGCATTTTTGCATGCTTGTTTTTCCTGTCTTTCCTCACTGTTTTCACTAAAAATGGATCTTTAATGACAACAGGGTCTTGGGATCTTCTGTGTGAATCTGTTTCACAGGAACTGTATGTGATGGATATACACAGCCAGAGTGGAAACTTGAGTTCTGTGGAGTTCATATCTGATTTCCATTAAGGAAAATCAATCTTATGGTTATATTTGAGTGGTTAAGAGAGTGCTATGAATTTGTGTGTTTAAATATTCATATACAGTTGCAGACAGAGTTAGATCTTGCCAAAAAGAAATGGGGTATGTACTTGGGATATGAGATTTTTTAAAAATGGAAAATACTGTTGATTGTTAATAATCTTTGTATCTTATATTACTATTCTTGTCCTCTACATTCTTCTGTTTTCTGGATCCAAGCTGATGGCTTAGGTCTAGAAATCGGTCATTGAAATTGTTTTGGATGTTAAACTACTTTAGCTGTTACTAAGGTTAAGACTAAGGTACACATTTAAAGTGTACATTTTAAGTCACATTTTAGTGCCGTGGGGAGGGGGAGGGAATGAACACAGAACAAAAGGAAAACTGAATTTCCATTATAACCAAAGGCCATAGCGCTGAAATCCCTAAGGCAGGAGATTTTGAAGTGGAGGAATTTAACATCTTGGGAAAAGTAATGTGACTGTGGACCTGATGAAACTATGAAATCTCTTGCAATTGAGTAATTGTTTTTTTGCACTCATAGGAAAAACCACTCTGAGAAGAAAATCAGTTACAGTCAATAATCTTAAACTGTTCATTCAGACTTGCCTTAGCTTGGTAGAAAGATTTTTCTTTTCTTAAATTTCAGATAAAGTGAGGTATAATTGACATATAAAATTGTAAGATATTTAAAGTGTACATCGTGATGATTTGATATATGATATGCTGTGAAAGGATTCTCCCCAATTAGTTAATTAACATATCCATTACCTCACAAATATACCTTCTTTTTTTCTCTTTGGCGAGAACACTTAAGTTCTACTCTGTCCACAAGTTTCATTTATACAGCACAGTGTTATCAACTATAGTCACTGTGTTATTCTTTAGCTTCTTGTACCTTATTCATTGTGTAGCAAAAATTTGTACCCTTTTACCAGTTTCTACCTATTTCCCCCAGCCTCTGACAACTACTGTTCTGCTATCTGTTTCTATGAGTTTGACATTTTCTTTTTTTTTTGGCTTGATCTTTGTAGAAAGTTTTTAAGAGTCTCCTTCCTCTATGCTTCTAATGTTTATGAACTAGTGTTTCTTTCTTGTAGGTAAGATAAATGTGTGAGAGCTCCCCTTTCAGTGTCTGCTCATCTAACAAAGGATTCAGTAACTTTATTTTTTTGGCTTGCAGCTATTGATTTCTCCCTTCCATGTCCTCTGTGACTCTAGAGGTACAGAATAATATTGATGCCTCGTAAGATAAACAAAACCCGAAGCAAATACAAGAACAGATTTCCGTCAACCTTATTTAACTTTCTCAGTTCAACATAGTAGAACTGATGTCTCTCCCAAATGTGATGCACCTTAGAGTCTTTGCTTCATCAGAGATCCTTTAACTTCATGTCTGAACGCACAAACACAGCATTCATTCATTTATTCACCAAATGTTTGAGTGCTCTTTGTGCATAACCGAGAGCTTGGATCTGGCAGTGTACATAGCAGTGAGCAGCAGAGATATGCATCTGCTCTAAGGGGTTTGGAGTCTGGTGAAGACCCTGACATTGAGCAGATACTTACCCAAGTAATCTATAATTATGAACAGAGTAAGTGCTCGGAGGGGAGCACGTGGGGGCCACAAGAGGGTTCTCCATCTGGCCTCCATGTCAGGGAGCTTTCCTCAGGGAAGGAAGATTTGAACTGAGATGTAAATGCTAAATGGAAGTGAACTATGCCAACAGGCTTTGGGAAAATAATGTTTCTCAGAGACAGAACAGAACACAGAAATGGTGCATCAATGAGATGTTCAAATGGAGGCACTGAGCAGGCAGCTAGAGTCCAGAGGAGGAGGCTGCACTGGAGATAAATGGGAAGTCATCACCTGTGTCCGTGATCAGGTCTTAGATTCATCTGTGTGGAGAAGGAGAGTTTGAGCCCCCTCCTGCAGGTTTCTCAGCTCCGTCTGTGTCAGGGAGGAGTTTGGCACTTGTCTCCGATTCTGTTGGCTCATATAAAAACCCACTGTTGTTGATTTATCTTCTCTTCCTCCTCTCAAGCCCCCACTACTTTCTAATTATTTCTAGCAAGAGGACCCTACACTATGCCAAAATGAATAAGAAATGTCTCCATTGAAAGAAAGTATACATAGATGTTCTTATATTTATAATGGAATTTGAGTAACAGTAATACATGGTTAAGAGAGAATAATTGCATTTTTAAAGGAACATCAGACTCCATGAAAGGTGGCAGTAGGAAGATTTTTGGCAGGAAAAAATTAATTTAAATAATGTCTTGTAAGAAAAGCTGACTCCTTGGAGGTGTTTATAACCTGTCATTCTTAGTCACATGTTAAAAGGCTTGTGTTTGGTGACATTTCCAATTTTGGAAACTTGATGTTGAGGTAGGAAGTGAAACTAAAGATGTACCAGTAAATTTTTATAACATTAACACAGTGGCATACCCACAGTGTATTTAGGTTAATTCAAAAAGATTTGGGGATACCTGGGAATATGCTTCTAATTTTAAGTGAAGCAAATCATATTCTACTGATTGGTACCTTATGTCTGTATTCAAACAATCAGTGACATATCTAACCTAGTAAGTCCAAAACTGCCTCCTCACCTTCTCCACAACATTCTGCTGCTTTTCCAGTCCTCCCGGGTTGCTAAGTAGCAACTGCAACTTTCCAGATACTCACTTCACATCCTTAGGAATCATCCTCCACACTTGTCTTTTACTCACATCCATATCCAAATCATTAGCAGATCTTGTCAGCTCGCCTGGGACGAACACATCCAGAATCTGACTGCATGGTCCACCTCTGCCCTTGGACCTCCACAGTTCCCCCATTTCAGCTGCTGCCCTCTCTGCCTCCAGTTGTCACAGAAGTTTCCAGATGAGTTTCCAGCTTCTGTTCTTGCCACCCCAAGCCACCAGCCCTCTGTCTGCCTTGGTCTATTCTCCACCTGGCAGCCAGAGGATCTTTAGGAAACACCTCAATCTAACACCAGTTAGATCACATCATTCTTCTGTTACTATTTCATTCTGAGTAAAACACAAATCCTTGCCGTTGCTTACAGGGCCCTCTTCTGACCTGGGCCCTGACTGCCACCCTGAACCATTTCCTGCTTTTCTTTGTTCACTCATCCTCTCTCCCCATCCCAGTCTCCCTGCTTTTTACACACCTTTGCACCTGCATGTGCCCCCAGCTTAGAACACTTTCCCTTCCACTGCATCTGAGCTATCTGCTTGTATAGCCCCATTTTCTTCATATTTTTGCTTAGGATCACTTGATCAGAGAGATCCTCTCTAACTACCAGATATATAACAGCACTGCTTCCTGTTCTGTCTGACCCTTTACTCTTTGCTCATAGCACTTGACACCACCTGAGATATATATTTATTTGTTTATGTGCTTGTCTGTGTTCAAGCTGGTTTTGAAAAAGGTAGAGGAACCAGAGATCAAATTGCCAACATTCGCTGGATCATCGAAAAATCAAGAGAATTCCAGAAAAACATCTATTTCTGCTTTACTGACCATGCTAAAGCCTTTGACTGTGTGGATCACAACAAACTGTGGAAAATTCTGAAAGAGATGGGAAGACCAGGCCACCTGACCTGCCTCTTGAGAAATCTATATGCAGGTCAGGAAGCAACAGTTAGAACTGGACATGGAACAACAGACTGGTTCCAAATAGGAAAAGGAGTATATCAAGGCTGTATATTGTCACCCTGCTTATTTAATTTATATGCAGAGTACATCATGAGAAACCCTGGGCTGGATGAAGCACAAGCTGGAATCAAGATTGGCGGGAGAAATATCAATAACCTCAGATATGCAGATGACACCACCCTTATGGCAGAAAGTGAAGAAGTAAAGAGCCTCTTGGTGAAAGTGAAAGAGGAGAGTGAAAAAGTTGGCTTAAAGCTCAACATTCAGAAAACCAAGATCATGGCATCTGGTCCCATGACTTCATGGCAAGTAGATGGGGAAACAGTGGAAACAGTGACTGACTTTATTTTTCTGGGCTCCAAAATCACTACAGATGATTACAGTGATTACAGCCATGAAATTACAAGATGCTTACTCCTTGGAAGGAAAGTTATGACCAACCTAGACAGCATATTAAAAAGCAGAGATATTACTTTGCCAAGAAAGGTCCATCTAGTCAAAACTATGGTTTTTCCAGTAGTCATGTGTGGATGTGAGAGTTGAACTATAAAGAAAGCTGAGCGCCAAAGAATTGTTGCTTTTGTACTGTGGTGTTGGAAGAGACTCTTGAGAGTCCCTTGGACTGCAAGGAGATCCAACCAGTCCATCCTAAAGGAGATCAGTCCTGGGTGTTCATTGGAAGGACTGATGTTGAAGCTGAAACTTCAATATTTTGGCCACTTGATGTGAAGAGCTGACTCATTTGAAAAGACCCTGATGCTGGGAAAGATTGAGGGCAGGAGGAGAAGGGGACGACAGAGATGAGATGGTTGGATGGCACCACTGAGTCAATGGACGTGAGTTTGGGTAAACTCCGGGAGTTGGTGATGGACAGGGAGGCCTGGCATGCTGCGGTTCATGGAGTTGCAAATAGTCGGACATGACTGAGCAACTGAACTGAACTGAACTGTCTCTCCTAACTAGGATAGATGCCCCATTGTAAAAGTGAA